CAGCAGTTTAACCCCACCAGTGGCTCCAAGGAGAAGGATGTGTGGCAACCACTTCCTTTAAGATGACAGTTCTCCTCAGACCTATGGGGTTACTGTGAGTCAGAACCCACTCAGTGACAAGCAACAAGAGCAAGGAGTCCCTGGGTAGCACAAATGCTTTCGTGCTCAATTTAAGCTACCAATGGGAGAGTTGGCAGTTCAGACCTACCCAGAAACGCCTTGAGAGGCAGAGCTAGGGATCTGCACCTTCAAGATCACAGCCACTAAAAACCCCGTGGAATCACGGGTCCACACATGTGGGGTCGCCATGCGTGTGAACTGGTTCCAAGGCAGCTAACAGCAGTTGTAGGGAACAGGTCACTGGGCAGCACAGATGGTTTGCTCTTGACTCCTAGCCTAAAAGGTCAGCAGTTTGAACCCACCCACCAACACCACGGAAGACAGGCCTTGCAGTCTGCTCCCTAACGATGATGGTCAAAGCCCAGTGGAGTAGTTCTCTGTAACACAGGTGTGGTGCAGGTGGAAAGGAGATTGCGTAGTCTTTCTTCTGGGCACTGCTGGGTGCATTGAAATCACCAAGCTTTTAGTCAATAGCAAACCACATACCATTTGTGCCCCCTGGGAAGGGTGTGATGTTATAAATGCCATCTAGTCCTTTCCAATTTGTTGTGACCTCTGTGTACAGCAGAACAAAGTGCTGCCCAGTCCTGCACCATTGTTGGAGCCACTGTCAGTTCATCTCGTTGATGGTCTTCCTCTTTCTGACTGACCCTGTACTTCAACAAGCATAATGTTCTTCTCCAGGGACCTGGTCCCTACTGATAGGTCCAAAGTTCTAAGGAACATTCTAGCTACTTCTGCCAACACAGATTTGTCCGTTCCTCTGGCAGCCTGTGGTATATTCTGTATTCTTCACCAGTACCAGAATCCAAAGTTGTCACCTCTTCTGTCTTTCTTTTTCATTGTCCAACTTTCAAATACATAGGAGGTGATTGAAAATAGCATGACTTGGGTCACATGCACCTTAGTCCCCAAAGTGACATCTTTATTTTGAAAGAGGTCTTTTGTAGCAGATTTGCCTGGTGCAGTATGTCATTTGAGTTCTTGACTGCTGCTTCCATGGGCGTTCATAGATCTAAGTAAAATGAACTACCTCCTAACTATTTTCACCATTTATCGTGATGTTGCTGATTAATCCAGGTGTGAGGATTTTGGGTTTTCTTTATGTTGAGATACAGTCTTGGATCTTCATCATTAAATGCTTTCAAGTCCTGTTGGTTTTCAGCATGCCATGTGTGTTAACTGCATATTGTAGGTTGTTAGGGAATTTCCCTCCAATCCTGATGCTGCATTCTTCGTATAGTTCAGCTTCTTGGATTATTTGCTCAGCATACAGATTGAATAAGCATGATGAAAGGGTACAACCCTGACACCTACTTTTCCTGATTTTAAACCATGTGGTATCCCCCGGGTCTTTTCAAACAATCTTGATCGATGTACACATTCTGCCTGAGCACAATTAAGTTTTCTGGGATGCCCGTTCTTCACAATGTTGACCATAATTTGTATAATCCATATTGTTGAATGGCTTTGCATAATCAGTAAAATACAGGTAAACATCTTTCTGGTATTCGCTGCTTTCATCCAGTATACATCTGCTCTCAGCAGTGTTATCCCTAGTTCTATGTCCTCTTTTAAGCCCTGCTTGAATTTCTGGCAGCTCCCTATGGATGTACTGTTACAGTTGTTTTTTAGTTATCTTCAGCATAATGGTACTTGCATGTGTTATTATTTACTGTTAATTACTAATAACTCATCAGTGATTTCCATATTTCATTAGAAATCGGTATATGTATGAATCTGTTCTAATTGACTGACCCTAGTAGCTGTCTTCTAGATTTCTTGGCATAGACAAGTTAGTACTTCTAGCCATTGCATCTGTTTGATGTGACATTTCAGTTGATAGTCGATCAATTCCTGGAGCCTTGTTTTTGCCACTGGAGCCTTCATTGCACCTTAGACGTCTTCCTTCAGTACTCTTGGTTCTTGATCATATGTTACCTCTTGAAATGAACGCTAATCTATCCTTTTTTGGTTCGGTGACTGGATTCCTTCCATCTTCTTTGGATGCTTTCTGTATCATTTAATTTTTTTTCTGTATAAACCTTTTGTATTACAGTCAGGGCATGAATTTTTTCTTCTGTGTTTTCAGCTTGAGAAATGATAGCTATGTTCTTCTTCCCTTTGGGTTTTCTAACTCCAGGTTTTTGCATATTTCATTGCAAAACTTGTCTTCAGATCTGCACTTTGAAATCTTCTATTCACTTTCACCTTCTCATTTTTTTCCATCCACTCTAGCTACTCTTATGTTCAAGAGCAAATTTCAGAATTTCTTTGGACATCCATTTTCATCTTTTTTCTTTTCTGTCTTTAATGACCTTTTCCTTTTTGTATGGTAAACTTGACATCATCCCAACACCTTCATTCATTGGTGTTCAGTGTATCGAATCTCTTTTTGAGGTGGTTTCTAAATTCAGGTAGGTCATTAAGTACAATCAAGTTGGTACCAATACATAGCAATCTAGTATAGGGCTTCCAGAGAGCAACTGGTGGGTTTGATCACCGACCTTGAGGTAATTTGTCTAGTGCTTACCCTGCATCACTGCACCAGAACTTGAAAATTCCGGTGCATAGAGGTCCTGAAAATTTATCATGCGTTTGTCAGTTTTCTCCATTGTTAAGATCTTAATGATTTTTACTTGACATGAACTTGTGATTGATTGTCAGAAGATCTTTAATGATCCTTTCCCCCTTTTAGTGTTCAAAGATCAAGATATTTGAGAAGTTCCAAAACTATGTTGTTGTTGTTAAGTGCTGTTGAGTTGGTTCTAACTCAAAGCGACCCTGTATAGGGTTTCCAGCAAGCATCTGGTGGTTTTGAAACAGCAACCTTGTGGTTAAAAAGTCTAGTGAGTATCCTATAGCAGCACACCAAGACGGTATAGCTTTTTAGAGGTAGAATTTGTTCAGTGGTTTCACCAGGAGTGAAACCCAAAGACAGAGAAAGTAGATGTGGCTTCAGAGTAGCCTTGTTTTTCCCACCTTGACCTTGTCATCTTGTCCCAAGGAGCCAGGTTGCCTAAGAGCAGTGATCGTAACGGTCAAAGAGTAGACTGACTTATCCTCGGAATTTACACTGCTAAGAAATTCATAATCCAGTGATAGAGGAGACTTACAGCTAAACAGTTCACAGTGAACAGCTGCCACTGTTAAAACACACATGAATCTATCCTCTTACTTAGCTTTTATTCAAGGCTTTAAAACAATTCTTCCCAGTTCAGTCATGGCTGATGACGCGTGGACCTGAATTTGTAAATTGTCCGAGTAATGGATTGGAAAAACTTCTGGGTTAATGTCTTTCTAGAAACATAATCACCGTCATGGAAAACCATGGCAGTGTGCAGACTGCACAGCAACCAATTCTGTTGACCTGCAGAGGTGGACACAGCGGAGCCCCACTCAAAGATGGTGGCTAGCGGTACCGCTGTGAACGGTGTTACTGTCCCGTCCTGACAGGCAGGCGGGCTTCTGCATCAGGTTTCTGAAAGGGCTCACTGCATCTCTTCTGAGTCTCCCAGTCCAGGGCTGCTGCCTGTAAGTTGTCCTGTTTGGTTGTCAGTCCAGTGTATCCATATATTGCAAATTTGGGTCGGTTCTTACAATTTTCTGTGTTGCCATGACTGAAATGGTTTGAAGCCCTACTTTTCTTATTAACCACTTTGCTCTTATTTTACTTTATTCAGAATTGACTTGATGGGAAAACATAACAAGAAAAGTGGCCTAAGCTGAGTCACAAAACTTTTGCTAATGTATCTAGAATTGATACTAAAGTCTCTTGGCCAATTTTTCTCCTGATCGTATTTGCTTTTATATATATGTGTGTGTGTGTGTATGTATACATACGTACATACAGATAGATAGATAGAGATATAGTTAAGTGTTTCTCAAGTTGGTTCTGACTCATAGTGATCCCATATGGGGTTTCCAAGGAGCAGCTGGTGAGCCTGAGCCACTGACCTTGAGGTTGAAACCACCCTTGGAGTCCAGTGCATCAAACCGCCTTTGCAGTCCAGCGCATTAACTAACATGCCACACCAGGACACTCTATATTAGGGGACTTCAGAAAGTTCATGTAAAAACTGCATTATCTTTCATTCTGTTCTTCCACAAGCTTTTTACAGCCCCCTTGCATGATATCTATAAGGAGCGGAGGTAGCACTGTAGGATTAGCACTGGGCTACTAATCAGAAGGTCAGCAATTCAAACCCACCAGCTGCTCCACGGGAGAAAGTTGAGGCTTTCTGCTCTAGTAAAGATTTACAAGCCTCGGAAACCCTGTACAGGGTCGCTATGAGTCAAAACCGACTCCAGGCACTGGGTTTGGTTTTTGGTGTCTGCTATATCTAATACAGTTGTGTATTGAATAAAAATGTAACAGAGAATTTGAATCTTTTTCTCTCTTTTCTCTGACTAGTTTCACCTGAAGTAAGTCTCTGCTTCTTCTAAGTTGTGGTTATGTGAACCCACTCTGCTTCATCTGGTCAGAAACTGGGAAAAGAGAAGGGTTTTCCTTCCTGTAAGATAAGTGGGACCATCACTTTACAGTTTGGTAGTTCCAGTTACTTATGGCCATTTTGGGGTCATTGTACACCCTGTGTTTTGTTGACTAAGGCAGAGTCTATGTTGGGAAAACATGCACTCACATGAAACAAATCGATTTAAGAGCTACAAGGAGACAGGAAGTTGTTAAGTCAGTCCTCGGGCAGCCCTCTCTTACCTATCGGAAGCATGTGTCGCAGAAGACATTGTAAAGGGTGGCCCGAGCTTAAATGCCTCTCCTCACGTGAGCCTTTCTTGTCTCATTTCTTTGTATTGGTTTACTCGTTTTATTGGTTTCTGGCAGTACATTGTAATCCTCACTGCTTTTCTTTTTCCTCTAGGAAACCTATGAGAATATCCCAGGTCAGTCAAAGATCACGTTCCTCTTACAAGCCATCAGAAATACAACTGCTGCTGAGGAGGTACTGCTTTACTGTCTGAGAATGTTCTGTTTGAAATATTTTATTTCCATTTGGAAACGATTTGGATAGTAGATGGTAGTTAATAGTGAGATAATAAGAATTATTTGAGTTTATGACATGCCCAGGGTAGAAAGAAGTTAATGGTTTTTTAATAATTACATAAAAACTACTTAAACGTAAGTGATTTCTACAGTTATTTTTTAAAAAATGGTTGTCGTTCCCTTGAAACAGTTCTAAATGAGAGAATTTAAAGTCATTCAGTGTTTTAATGTGCTGCCGAATGTTTCTGAGGAAAATAATAAAAATAATAATGTGTGTGTCTTGTAAAAATGTATACTACAGGTGGAGAAGAGTATGCACTATGAAACAGATATGTTCAGAACAGACCTCTTTTTCTGGAATTCTTTAAAAATCTTGTATTTTCATAAATTACCTAGTTAACTCTACCAAATTCAAATTGCCTGAATTTTAAGACTCAAACTTAAGTTTGTAGAAATATGATTTTACTCAAACTTTCTGAGCCTCACTCTTTCTATGGTAAAATAAAGGCTATCCCGAGAGTTGTAGTTACGTAACTGCCTTTCTGTGCATAACTAGCTAATACTCTTTGTGTTCCCATAGAATGGCCTCATAAATCTCAAATGTAACTACTGAATGTCTTCTGTTTACTTTGGAAAAGGTATCAAAATATCTATAAAACTTACACCAACCTAAGAAACACTGCATTTAGAGTTCTTTGTTGCATAGCAAACATGACTCAACCCATGGTAAAATGTTTACACTAATATCTGATGTTGCCAATTAAGTCACACTGAGCTTCACCAACAGTATTGCCCCTCCTGGCTTCTTAAAATAGTTGACAAAAGGAATTTCATCAACTTTGTTACATATTCTTTGTATATAATTCAAAATGAATGTCAAAGTTGAAGAGCAAACATCCATACATACATGAGGACAAGTCAAAAAGTATTGCTAATAGTGTTCCAGTTCATACATAGGCAGTTTATTCCAAACAAAACATGTTTAAACATGTCTCTGGGATCGTCTCATTAGAGTACCTTGAAAGAAAAGATGCAGTCAAAGCAGTGACTTCCGAGTGGCTCTGCTGGGCCACTTCATTTCCAAGGTAGAAAAACCAGATCGGAAGGTAATGGTGACTGTCTCTTGGGATGCCCAGCAGGTAATCTTGATAGATTTTCTTGAAGGACACAGGACGATTTCCAGGGGCCTATTAGGAAGAAATTTGAGGACTGCGTTGGCGAGGAAAATTCCGTCAAGGAATTTTTTTTTTTTCGTTGCAACAAAGCATCTGCTTATTCTTCATGGGTCTTAGGAAGACTTCGTTGAGAAACCATAGCCCATCCATCCTACATCCTTGACCTTACCCCTTCAAACTTCTTTGTCTTTGCAAACCCCAAAGACCATTTGAAAGGAATGCATTTGAGTCCCTCAAGGGTGTAAGCTCATTTTGGCACATTGTAAATTAAAGAACTTTTGGGGGAAGGGTTGTTGTTGTTAAGTGCCATCTAGTCATTTCTCACCCATGGCGACCCGGTATAGGGTATCCGAGGAGCAGCTGGTGAGCTTGAACCGCCGATCTTGCAGCTCAGATGGCTTTGCAGTCTGGCGCATTAACCCACAGCGCCACATCAGAAATCCGGGGGAAGGGTTAGAGAGATGGAAATATCACCTTCAGAGGTGTGTAGGTGTAGAGAATATGTGGAGAAGCAATAGCGTCTTAATAGAGGGTTCTATTGAACCTTTACAGAAAGTCATGCCAGATTCAGAAGTGGATGTGAAACTAGAGATATCATTGCATACGTCAGATGGATCTTGGCTGAAAGCAGAGAGTATCAGAAAGATGTTTACTTGTGCTTTATTGACTAGGCAGAGGCTTTCGAATGTATGGATCTTGACAAGCTATGGACAACATTGTAAAGAATGGATATTCTAGAGGTTATTCCAGATTACTTAATTGTGCTCATGAGGAACCTGTATATAGACCAGGAGGTTGTTCTTAAGAGAACAAGGGGATACTAAATGATTTGGTTTAAAATCTGGAAAGGTGTGCACCAGCGCTGTATTCTTTCTTCATGGTTTTCCAGTCTGCACTGAGCAAATAATCTGAGAAGCTGGGTTCTGTGAAGAAAACCGGTGGCATCAGGATTGGAGGAAAACTCATTAACAACCTGTGATATGCAAATGATACAATCTTGTTTGCTGAAAGGGAAGAGGACTTAAAATACTTACTGATGAAAATCAAAGTATGGGTTGCAACTTAATGTAAAGAAAACAGAAATCCTTATAATGGAACCAATAAATAACATCATGATAATGGAGAAAAGGTGGAAATTGTCAAAGACTTCATTTTGCTTGGATTCACTGTCAACACTTAATAGAAGCAGCGGTCGAGACAACGTATTGCATTAGGCAAATCTGCAGCAATAAGCCCTTTCAAAAAGTGTTCAATAGTAAGGAGGTGGGCATTATGAAAGGTGGGCAATGAATAAGGAAGACTATGGAAAAATAGATGCATTTGAGTTATGATATTGGAGGAGAATATTGAAAGTACCATGGACTGGCAAAAGAAAAACCTGTTTTAGAAGAAATCCTCCTAAGAAGCCAGGATAGTGCGTCTCTAATACTTCAGACATAACAGAAAGGACCAGTCCCTGGAGAAAGACATTATGCTTGGTAAAATGGAGAGTCAGTGAATAAAAAGGAAGACCTCCAACAAGATGGATTCGTCCAGTGACTGCAGCAGTTGGGTCAAGTGTAACAATTGTGAGGGTGGTACAGGACCAGGCAGTGTTTCAGACTGTTGTGCATAGAGTGGCTATGAGTGGGAAGCAACTCAACGGCACCTAGCCACAACAGAGGGGTCTATGGATTTTGTAACAATATTTTATCAAGAATGGAAAGACATTCATGAACAAGCGTAAGGACCTGTAGGGATATAGGAAAAGAGCACTACAGGGCTTGCTATTCACATTAAGATAGATTTTTCCATAAAGAAAATATTCATAAGAATTAAAGATATATCATTGTTTAAATAACGTGGCATTGTAGGATAAGCACTGGACCACAGGATTGATTTGAATCTCAAGGTCTGCATTTCAAACTCACAAGCCACTCCTCGGAAATCCTATACACTGTAACTATGAGTCTGCACTGACTCACCAGCACTTGACAACAGTATATATATATTTTTGTTGTTGTAGTTGTTGTTGTTGTTGTTGTTGTTAAATGTATTCCTATTTGAGATCTGGAATCCTGGTGTAGTACTGCAGGCTACAAGCTCGGTTTGAACCTCAGGGTCGGTGGTTCAAACTCACCAACCACTCCTAGGAAACCCTATACATTGTCCCTTTGAGTCAGAACTGACTCGACATCTCTGAAGAGCATGTATAAATATATATGGACTCCTGGTGCAGCTCTGTAGTATAAGCACTGGACTGCAAATCATAGAGTGAGCAATTCAAACCTACCAGCTGCTCCTCAGAAGTTCTAACAGCAGTTTGAGGTCTAAGATATGTTTTCCTTTGGCTCCCAAAAAGGGACTTTTTTGGTGCTGCTTTTTATGCAATTAAAATACTTTGGAAAAAATATATAAATTAATTGTTGAATTGGTATGTGTTTTAGGTTTATTTTAACCACCATAATAAAAAAAAAATTTAAATATATAAATTGCTTTTGAAATGAATTGTAAAAATAGAATAGTGAAGTGCATAAATGGCAGAATGGGGTCTCCGTCTTTGAAAACTTTTTCTCTAGTAGAACACCAGGTTTTTAACTATTGTCTATTTTTAGGTTAGACAAATGGCTGCTGTTCTCCTAAGACGTCTTCTGTCGTCAGCATTTGATGAAGTCTATCCAGCTCTTCCTTCCGATGTTCAGACTGCCATCAAGAGTGAGCTCCTCCTGATTATCCAGATGGAAACACAGTCCAGCATGAGGAAAAAAATCTGTGACATTGCTGCAGAGCTGGCCAGGAATTTAATAGGTGTGTATGTCAGGGCATGTTAGATTGCAGGAAATGGATGGGTAGGCTTCCTTTATAAACAGAAAACAGGGATCTTTAAGAATCTTAGAAAAAGAATCGTGAGTACCTCTGAGCACCATTTATTCTGTCTGAAATTTGTAATAGGTAGTCAATATATTTACCGATTGGTCTTCAGGGAATCCTAGTGTGGCACTATAGTATAAGCACTGGACTGTTAACCGCAACGTTGGAAATTCAAACCCACCCAGCCATTCATCAGAAACCCTGTGCAGAGTGTATGAATCAGAGCCTACTCGATATCACTAAACAACAGTAACAATTGGTCTTCAAATGTCCAGGTGGAAAACTAAGTTTACTTTTAAACTGGCCATTCTATTTCCCCTTTAATAATAGTAAAAACTAGGGGTTTAAACTGGATTGGAACAGTTCAGTCATGGCAGATGGAATCAAGGGCACTGTGTGTATTGCATAGCAACCACATCTCTTATGTGGTGGATTTGGGCTGTACCAGAAGCGGGCATCAGTGCCCTGCCCAAAGATGGTGGCTGACTGCTCCGCTTTCAGTCTGCTGGCCACCATCTTTGAGCAGAGTACCACTACCTATTTTTTTGCTGGGGTCAAAATCTCCCACACAAGAGATGGGGTTGCTCTGCAAAGCCGTACATACACTGCCCTTGTTTCCATTGGCCATGATTAAACCATTTTGAACAGGTTCATATCCCTGGTGAAAATCTTCCCTGGCCAGAGTTCAGAATCTGCTGAAATTCTTAATTTTGAAGCTACTTAAGTAGCTTTAGAAAAATCTCATTTCAAGTTTTAAGTGTGAAGCTAGAAAATTGAATTGTTAAGTGCCATCAAGTCACTTCCAAGTCATAGTAATGTTGTTAAGTGCTGTCAAGTCGGTTCTGAGTCTTAGTGACCCTACATAGGGTTTCCATGGAGCAGATGGTGGTTTTGATCTTCCAACCATGTGGTTCACGGTCCAATGCTGATCCTTTGGTAACAATGTTACCATAGCAACATTGTTGTTAAGTGCTGTAGAGTCAGTTCCACTCCATAGCGACTCTGTATAGGGTTTCCCAGGAGTGGCCAGTGAGTTTGAACTGCCCGTCTTGCAGTTCAAACTGGCTTTGTGGTCCAGCAGGTTAATGTTAACCTACAGCGTCACACCAGGACTCCAGCATTATCGTTGTTGTTGTTGTGTGCCGTGGAGTTGGTTCCGAGTCATAGCGACCCTGTACAGGGTTTCCGAGGCTGTAAATCTTTATGGCAGCAGAAAGCCTCATCTTTCTCCTGTGGAACAGCTAGTAGTTTCAAACTGCTGACCATGAGGTTTGCAACCCGATTCGTAACCACCACGCTACCAGAGCTCCTTAGGACTCTAACATTAGCAGTGATTAAAGAGTCCTGATGGCGTTGTGGATTAGGCTTGGTTCAGATCCATCAGCTGCTCTGTAGGAGAAAGATGACGTTGTCTGTTCCTGGAAAGATTTGCAGTCTTGGAAACCCTGTGTAAGTTCACTGTGAGTCACAGTCAACTCAGTGGTAGTGGGTTTTAGAGAAAAAGCATCTCACTCTACAGTGGACTTATGATCTTGATATCAACATAAAGGTAAGTTTCATACTAGAAAATACAGGAGAGCAGAGATTCTAGGACCCAGAGAGTGTGTTTTGCTTATACATTACAGTTTTTGAAACGCTGCAGAATGTCAGTAATGTGTTTACATTAACAAGATTTTTAAGACTAATTTTTCAGTGGCATTATGCACTCTCTTAACTATTGAGATGATGCTTTGAGGAGGAACAGAACAGCTGCTTTAAGCAATTCTCTGGATCACTCTGAAACCTTTTGGAAAGCGTAGTGGTTACGAATCAGGCTGCAAACCGCAAGATCAGCAGTTCGAAACTACCAGCTGCTCCACAGGAGAAAGATGAGGCTTTCTGCTCCTGTAAAGGTTTATAGCCTTGGGAACCCTGTTCAGGGTCACTGTGGGTCGGAACCAGCTCGATGGCACTTAACAACAACACTGATTTTGAGATAGGCATGATGTCATCTGTATGGCACTTTAGGGTAAGCACTGGACTGTTAGTCACAAGGTAGGTGGTTCAAATCCAAGTGCTCCTAGGAAACCCTATACAGGGCCTCTGAATTGGAACCGACTCAGTGGCACTTAACAATATCATCTGTACTTTTGAAATCTAAATACACAGTTCAAGACTTAATTTGATCGAAATTGTAAAAATACAGAACAAGTATATTGCTACCTGTTGTGAGTGGAGCTTTTGCAATGAAAGGAATCATCCTTCTAGTGTTTCAGATTTTGACTTAACATTCATTATTGCCTGGATTTCTGTGCTTTCAGATGAAGATGGTAATAACCAGTGGCCTGAAGGTTTGAAGTTCCTTTTTGACTCGGTCAGCTCTCAAAATGTGGGACTGCGGGAAGCTGCCCTTCACATTTTCTGGTATCTGCACTGGTCTTTTTGTTTGTTTTTTTAATTTGATGTTGTTGTTTTTAATTAGATGTCTTAAAATAAAATTAATATAATTGGATCTATAACTTTTAAAGCTCATACATTATTTGTTTAAATGAGCATCAGAGAGTAAGCAAAGACATAACACCATTTTCTTCTTTGTTGCTACGTCTTGTTTATGTCAGTAATCAATTATTAGAGGATTAAGTTAAAAGCAACTAGTTTAACCAATTTGTTTTCCTGTTTAAGGAGAACAGATCGGGGTCACCAAGCAGACTGGCAAAGAATGGTTATTATAGTTTATAGTTAACCATCCAAAACCCGCTGGTGGCTCTTGCCCTATTCTCCACTCGTGGTTCTCTTGGATAAGCCATCACATTCGGAGTGGAGAACAGTATGTTTGTTTCCATTTATCCAATTCAAAAAGAGAATTGGTTGGAAGATGGGCCGATGATTTCAGCCTTCATGCTGAATGCATACATTTGAATTAGGCTGACACATCTGTAAGGTATGATGTAGTATTTAAAGAGTGCTTTGGATCATTTTTTTAGGAATTTTCCTGGAATTTTTGGGAATCAACAGCAGCACTATTTAGACGTCATCAAACGGATGCTAGTTCAGTGTATGCAAGATCAGGAACATCCATCGGTAAATCATTTCAATTACATTAAAATTAACGTAATTTAATGTTAATGTTTAACTTGTGGCGTAAATTTATGTATGAGGGGATTGTTTCATTTTTATACTTTATAATAGAAATACTGGTTTTATTGATAAAAAGAAAAATTTCATTTTGAGTGGTAAGACTTGAGCTTTAATCCAACAAGTATTTCTCATATTCACATTTTTTATTCTTTTTATTCATGTTAGATCAGAACATTATCTGCTAGAGCTACAGCTGCATTTATACTTGCAAATGAGCATAATGTTGCTCTCTTTAAACATTTTGCCGACTTACTACCTGGATTCTTACAGGTAAGAAAGCAATATAGGATTAGATGTTAACTATATCCTTATTGGTGTCCTTTTATTTAAATCCATATCAGAGTTCTGTGGTGTACTTAGGCACTTACTGCTTTCTGTTTGCTAACATTTTCTAGGCTGTGAGGATACAGCATTGCACAAAACACCAGTTGTTGCCCCCATTGTTAATCTCTTAAAATATTTTGGTAAGAGCTAATTTCAGAAATTTTCTGTAAAGCTAGCGATAAAAGCAATTAAATAAGGATCTCTGGTAACATAGTGGTTACAAGTCAAGCTGCTATCCTCAGGGTCAGCAGTTTGAAACTACCAGCCGTTCTGTGGGAGAAAGATGAGGCTTTCTGCTCCCGTAAAGATTTACAGCCTCGGAAACCCTGTACAGGGTCACTATGAGTCGAAACCGACTCCATGACATGTAACCAGCCACCATATACTTAAATTAGTCTTATTGAGTATTTACGTAGATTATTTCCCTTAAGGCAAAATACTAATTTAGGAGACTTAATGCCCATTTTACGTAAGGAGAAGTTGGAGAAGAAACTTACCCAAGGTCACAATGCTGGTAATAGTAGACCAGGGTCCACAGAATCACTGGTGATTCTCAATCTTGTCAGGCCCAACACCCCCTTTGACTTTTTTTTGAAAACTAATTTCCAGTGGTAGCAGCAGTGAGCTTCAAGTGTAACCATTGTGAGGAATGCACAGGACTGCTGTGTTGTGCATAGAGTTGCTATGAGTCGGAACCGACTCAATGGTACCGACCAACATTGTATGAAATACATAGAATAGATAATAAAATACATTTCTATGCACAGTCTGGTAGCATGCTTGTGAAATGGGCTGCTAACCTCAAGGTCGGCAGTTCAAAACTACCAGCTGTTCTGCAGGGGAAAGATGAGGCTTTCTGCTTGGGTAAAGATTTGCAGCCTTGTAAGCCCTATGCAGGGTCACTATGAGTCGGAACCAACTCCACAGTACTTAACAACAACAATATGCACACTTTAAAAAAGATCAACATGAGAGTATTAACACCAAGAAGAAATAACAATTGTACGTTTCCATTGGAGTACTCGGACGTGAGTGTCTGACAGATACTGTGGCTCGGTGGTGTATGTGGACCGGTACAATTCACACATGGTTGTCTTTACTCCTGGCATGGTCACGGTCTGAACAAAGCGCTGTGGGTCCTTGATGAATGCACTAATACATGCGTGGGGGGGGGGGGGGGGGTGGGGGGGGGGGGGGTGTAATGATACCTTAAACTCTTGCCACACATACGTGTGAGTTAGACTCGATGCTCATGTCATTGTATGCAGGTTTTTCCTTTTTACAGATGTTTGGCATTTAGGATCAGCATGTGAGGTGCAGTACAGTCCTTCATTGTAAAGATTTGGGTCACAGATACAGGACATCCAGAACCCCTAGTGTGGGCCCATATTCAGTTATTGTCACAACCAAGAAGTTCTTCCTGGGAGAAGTAACACCCATGGTGAGAACCACTAGACTAGAAAGGACTTGGGTACCATCAAGTTGGTTCCAACTTATAGCAACCCTGTGTAGGGTTTCTGAGGCATGGCTGCTGGATTTGAACTGCCTACCTTGTTGACCCAAGACCACACAGTATTTCGTTCTGTTGTACATAGGGTCACTATGAGTCATTACCAACTTGATGGTACCTAACAACCTTGTGCTTAACAATCTAGTGCTTATCCTACAGCTCCAGGGCTCCAGAAAGGAATTGTTAAGTGCTGTCGAGTTGATTCCAACCCATAGTGTGACCCTGTGTAGGGTTTCCAAGAAGCAACTGATAAGCTTGAACCAGCGACCTTGCATTGCAAACAACTTTGCAGTCTGGTGCATAACCCACAGCGCCACACCAAGAATTAGAGCAACTCAAATGAAAGTTCCTAAGTGATTAAAAAGAGTTGTGAGCAGGACTCCTGGTATATTGCTGTAGGATAAGTCCTGGACCACAAGGTCCATTTGAACCACCGGGTCAGCTGTTCAAACTCACCAAGTTGCTCTTTGGAAACCCTATATAGGGTCACTATGGATCGGCACTGTATTAGCAGCATTTAACGACAAGTGATTTAAAAAAATTATTAATAGGATTTAGTAGAAACTTCTTTGTCACCATACTATCCATTTGAAAGGATTTCTTGTTGTTAAGTGCTGTCAAGTCGATTCTGACCCATAGCAACCCTGTATAGCGTTTCCGAGGAGTAGCTGTTGAGCTTGAACCACCGACCTTGCAGTTCAAATGGCTTTGCAGTCTGACGCATTAGCCCACAGCGCCACACCAGGAGGTCAATGATAAAATATTAACTGTTCTATGCTAACGTTTTAGTAGTTTCTTACCTGAAATCTTGGGTTACTTGATATTTAATTCTAACAGCAAAAACTTTTCTTCCTCTGGATTTGGAGTTAAATGTTCACCAAAACTTTCAGCAGTTGTCACTCTAAAGTCAGTTGTGGTAGATCCGTAAATACATGATACTGGACTCGTTAAACTCGTTTTGAGGTGTATTTATTCTGTACATAAGAAAGGCTGGGCGCACAGTGACTGTAGGGTATGCACAGACCTTCAAACCTCAAGACCAGTGGCTTGAGCTGGCCTGTTGCTCTGTGGGAGAAAGATGAGGCTTCTTGCTCCCACAGAGATGTACAGCGGTCTCCGAAGCCCTGTACAGGGCCGTCTGAGCCAGAACAGGACTTCACAGCAGCAGCCACAACAACAACAAGAAAGACTGGCATATGGAAGTAGAAAAACAAAGGAAAAGAGTAGATCTAAAAAGAATTCCTTGAGTTGTGGGTGTAGTTTCACTAGTGTCAGTTTTGATTTAGATTTAAGCCTTTACTTTGTATGTTTCATGGTAACATAACATGACAAGAAGGTATACGTGTGTTTAGGATAGGATAGAACATTTGCGTAATACTGATGGCTAAATTGTTATTTGCTGTTTAGTAGTATTCCTCTGTTTGCCTCTTCAAACTGCTGTGAATAATGAGGCATCATAGTGGGACTCTTGGAGCACCTTGAGAGAAAGGTACACACAAACTTTTCTCCCCCATTTCATCTTTCATAGGCTGTAAATGACTCATGTTACCAGAATGACGATTCCGTCCTCAAGTCCCTTGTTGAGATTGCAGATACTGTTCCTAAGTATTTGCGTCCTCATTTAGAAGCCACTTTACAACTGAGTCTGAAGGTAAAGTAACTACCTTTGTTTTTTTCCTTGTCATTTTTAGGTAATAATCTTCACTATTAAACCTACATAAATGTTTCCTTCTTGTAGTTATGTGGAGACACTACCCTCAATAACATGCAACGGCAGCTTGCCCTGGAAGTGGTAGTGACCCTCTCAGAGACAGCAGCTGCTATGTTAAGAAAACATACCAATGTTATTGCACAGACAAGTAAGTCAAAGTCCTCTACAGTACTTTTGTATGTTGCATTGACGGGCTTGTTGAATGCACTTGCCCAGGATTATGTAACTTCACAGATGTGTTGAGAATGTAATGAATGCACTTTTAGAATCTAATGACTTTGCAGACATTTTATTTGTATGTACTTAACACATATTCGTATCCATGTGTACTTAGACATGTCCATGCACCTAGAGTGGTGGCCCTGCCTTTAGTTGTTCACAGTCACCATGAAACTTGGTATTATAAGTACAGTGTCTGTGGTGGACGGTGATGTATTACTGTAGTCTCTTGTATATGTTAGTTATTGAGTTAATAGAGTTTAAAATTTTTCACAAAGAATATAGGAACACCTAATCTAAAACGCCCAGGACTGGACATTGTTTCGTTCTGCTGTGCATGGGGTCGCTATGAGTCGGTTCTGACTCGATGGCACCTGACAACAACAATCTAAAACGCACACGTTGCCAAAATGAAAATCAAGAGAGCAAATGGCACCACAGTGAAGGTAGTGCTAGAACACAGATCAAACACTTTGGTGAGGGCGCTTGTGTTTTGCAGGAGAGACTTTAGTAACTTGTAGACTTTAAAGTTTCATTGTTCTTGAAGAATACCAAAACCAACCGTCCTGCCACCAAGGCAGCGCCCACTTGTAGCTGTTTGTGTAGGGTTTCCAGGTGTATACGTCTTCACAGAAGCAGTCAACCTCAGCTCTCTGTCTCAGTGCACTCTGAGGAATAAAGGTCAGGGAAACAAACCTGGTGATTTTGTGGCCCAGCCATTTCTTATACAAAAAGGTATTAGAACAATTATGTTTATTTAGAAATAAATATGTCAGCAAATCTATTTTTTAGCGCTAGCTACCTTTATCTCACACTGAGGTAGTGGTTGAAAATTTGAAAACATTGTCCTTGAAGTCAGGAACAAGAAAGTAACTTCACTGTCACTGCTTCTGTTGTACTGATGGTCGTAGACAATATGCAGTTTGAGAAGAGTAAGTATATGGATTAGAAACAAAATAAGTTGCTTATTTGTAAATTACGTAATTGCCTCAAAAGAGGAAAGAATAAACAGATAAATTGCTGGAGTGATTAATCAGCTAGGTTGTTGGCTGTGAGGATAAGTAATAATGTGCCTATAAATCAGTGAAGTCCTGGTGTGGCACTCTAGAATTAACACTGAACTGCTAACCTCAAGGTTGGCGATTTAAACCCACTAGCTGCTCCTTGGAATCTGTAAGAGTCATTGGAGTCAGTATTGACTCGACAGCACTTAACCACAACACTAGCAAGAGACCAATAATCATTTAGAAAATTTACTAGGAAAAAATACTTCATAGTAGCGAGGGTCCTTTGTGGTACCTGGAAATAAATTAAAATTAGATAGCATTGAAAGAGCTGGTAGAAAAAATTAAATTAAACATCATTTCTCAAATGAATATATGATTGTTAAGTGCTTTTCTTAATTGCTATCAGGACTGACTGAGGGTTAGAAATGGAAAGATTAGACGTTTTGTAACAAAAGAAGGCACATGGTTGATTTTGCACTCCAGGAGCAGAGGTCCCTGGGACCTTCAAGGGAAAGGAGCAGAGTGCGGGACCCTACCCAGAGAAACAGTGACACCACAGATGAAGGCAGAGACGATGACTTGGAGAGCTGGCGTGGCTAGGGACTCTAGACCCAGAGAGGGAGAGGGGCTGTGTGCTGATGACCAGGGGGCAGGCTTGAGGAGTATGTACCCTTTGGTTGTTTGAGATGCATGGAGGGGATTGTAATTATGCAGTGTAACAAAATACAGTAGAATGAATGGAAAGCTAATGTTATCCCATGTAAACTATCACATAATTCACAATAAAAACAAAACAACAACAAAAAACAACACCCTTCACTGTATCAGGTATTTGTGAAGAGGGTGCAGCAGAGAGGATTCTCCTATGCAGCTCCAGACCACATCACACAGAGTTAGGAAATCAGACAGACCTCCTCTGAGACTTGAATGGGACTGTAAGTTTGTGCAACTATTTTGAAGAGCAGTTTGATGATTTTTGATGAAAGGTGTGCACCAGGGTTGTATTCTTTCACCATAATTAATCAATATGTATGCTGAGCAAACAATCTGAGAAGCTGGGTTATATGAAGAAAAACATAGCATCAGGTTTGGAAAAAGATTCATTTATCGGCTATCTGCAGGTAGTACAACCTTGCTTGTTGAAAATGAAGAGGACTGAAAGTACTTACTGATGAAAATCAAAGACCACAACTTTCAGAATGAGTTGTACCTCAGTGTAAAGGAAAACAAAAATCCTCACCACTGGATCAATAAGCATCCATATAAAAGCAAAAAAGATTGAAGTTGTCAAAGACTTCGTTTTGCTTGGATCAACCATCAGTACTTATGGAAGCAGCCGTCAAGAAATCAAATGACATATTGCATTAGGCAAACATGCTGCACAAGACCTCTTTAAAGTGTTGAAAAGCAAAGATATCAGTTTAATGACTAAGGTGTGACTTAACTCATGTCATGGTATTTTTAATAATACATGTGAAAGTCAATGAATAAGGAAGACCATAGAAGAATTGATGCGTTTGAGTTACGGTGTTAGAAGAGAATATTAGAAGTACCATGGGCTGCCAAAAGAACCAACAGATCTGTTCTTATGTAGCCAGATTTCATCGCTCCTACTTCAGACATATTGTCAGGAAATCATGTTTGGTAAAATGGAGGATGGTAGAAAATGAGGAAGACCCCCAATGAGCTCAGTTGGGACAGTGACAGCAGCAGTAGGTGCTAATGTATAAGTGATTGTGTGGTTGGCGCAGGACCGGGCAGTGTTTCGTTCTGTTGTGCACAGGGCCACTATGAGTCGGTACCCACTTGATGGTATCTAATAATATTGTGACATTTAAGGGTTTTTTGTCTACTTGGCTGGGCCAGGATTCTCAGTGGGTTAGCAGTTAAGATGTAGTGATCACCTTCATAATGAGATCTAATATAATCATTTCTCACAATGGATCTAATGTGACCAGCCTTGATCTGATGTCATTATCCTATGCATGGTAAGTCCTCACTTCTATGATGCTAGGAGGCCAGATGCACTCTACAGCATTAAAGTTGCAGCCTGAGTCACTCTCTTTTATGATAACAATAGAGATTATATAAGAACAAAGAGAGAGACTTAACTACCCCCAAGGAGTGGAGTACATCCTCGGGACCTAGGGTCTGTGCATTGTGAAGCTCCTAACTTCAGGAGATATTGATACCAAGACACATGGAGTTCTCTAAGGAACGTTGTGGGGCATGTCGATGCAGCAGGGACCCAACTGAGAGAGAGAAAAGCTTCCCTAAAGCCAGTTCTGTGAATTTGGACTTCTTATAGTGGTTTATGTGCTGGGCTGCTAGCTGCGAGGTCAGTAGTTCAGATCCACCAGAGAAGGAGGCGGCTTTCTGCTCCATAAAGATTTACAGCCTCGGAACCCTCCAGAGGATAGCTATCAGCCAAACTATGGAATGTATGAAGCTTTGTTTTAAGTGCCATCGAGTCGGTTCTGACCCACAGCAATCCTGTACAGGGTTTCCAGGGAGCAGCTGGTGAGCTTGAATTGCCAACCTTGCAGTTCAAACAACTTTGCAGTCTAGCATATTAACCCAAAGCGCCACACCAGGAAGTTTAGATCTAGGAAAATTGGAAGTTGTCAAAAACTAAATGATGTTCGTAGAGATCTGTATCATTCTAGGCATTAGTGAGCTGAAGTGGTGGATTGTTATTGGCCATTTTGAATTGGACAATTATATGGCCTACAATGCCAAGAATGGCATAATAGTATATATTGACAAAAAGAATATTTCAAGATTTATACTACAGTATGGGATAATATCCATGTCCCTACAAGGAAGAACAGTTGCATACAGTTATTCAAATTTATGCACCATTCACTAGTACCAGAGATGAGGCAATTGATGATTTTTACCAACTTCTGTTGTCTCCGAAGTTGATTGAGTATGCAATCAAGATGCATTGAGGACCAGTGACTTATTCATTGCAAATAGGTTTCTTCAATAAAATATGTGGTGACTGTACTTTTGGACCTTGCTGAATGGAATGCATAGCAATCAAATTGTATATATATATAGATAGATAGATAGATAGATAGAGAGAAAGAGAAAGAAATAATGGAGACGTTCAACATCATCAGTCAGAGCAAGACCAGGGGCTTGTATGCTCGTATGCAAGCTCACTTTGAAGGTAAACAAGCTAAAATAAACCCAAGTATGACCTTAAGTATATCCCGCCTGAATTTAGAGACCATCTCTAAAATGCAGTTGATGCACTAAACACTACCAACTGACAACCGTCATGCTTGAAAAAAGCAAAGGTTTATTAAAATCAAACAAAAAACTAAAATGGGTGTTAGAAGAGACTCTGGAACTTGCTCTTAAATGTAGTCCTTTAAGTGAATTTACAGAGCTGAACAGGAGATTTCAAAGGTCAGCTTGAGAAGACAAAGTAAGTTATCATATTAAAACGTGCAAAGACCTGGAGTTTAGAAAAACAAAAGGGAAAAACATACTTTGCATTTATTTATCAAGCTTAACTGAAGGAAAAAATTCAAGTTACAATATTGTGAAGTATCCAGTGTTTGAATGATAACATGAAGCATCAAAAGAAGATAGGAATTGCTATCCCAGAAAGAATTGACGGGCACTCATTGCAAGTGTTAGCATATAATCCTCCAAGCTGCCCTGATGGCATTGCTAAATAAGCAAGGCTTTAGATTTAGAAATTGATGGCATACTAAAACTGAGTTGTTTCAACAAACAAATGGAGTCAACAGCTGGATGCATTCAACCTGTTAATGCCAAGAAATTCAGAAGCTAGCTTCTTGTCTCACCAACTGAAGGAGATCCATATTTGTTCCCATTCCAAAGAAAGATAATGCAACAGAATGCAGGAATTATCAAGCAGTGTTATTAATAGCACACACAAGTAGATGTTTGTTGAAGATAATTTTTTTTAAATGATTGCAGAAGTTTATTGATAGGGGACCCAGAAGAGGACATGAATGAGGGATCTCATTGCTGATGTCAGATGAATCTTAGCTGGAAGCAGAGAATACCAGGAAAATATTTACCTGTGCTTTACTGACTCTGCTTGGAAGAAGGGCAGTTCCAAATACTTCATTGTGCTCATGCATCACCTGCCATTTGAACAGGAGAGGGATCTGTGATCTCAAATCAGGATAAAGAAAAAAAATCCTCACAACAAAATCAACGAGCACTATCAAAATGAATAAAAGATGGAATTTCTCTTTTTTGGGTCTATACTCAATGCTCATGAAAGCAGCAATAAAGAAATCAAATGACATTTTTTAAAAGGACAAATCTGTAAAAGGTCTGTTTATAGTGTTAAAAAGCAAAAATGTCACTTTCAGGACTAAGGTGCACCTGACCCAAGCCTGCGTATTTTCTTCTGCCTCCTATCCATGAAATACAAGGGATTAGTTGATATAGAAGATGGAGAAGACTCGGTGCTTTTGATTGGTGGTGTCAGTAAAGAATCTTGACTGGGCCCTGGACTGTCAGAAGGACATACAGATCTGTCTTCAGAGAAGTACGGCCAGAATGCTCCTGAGAGGTGAGGATGGTAGTAAGACTGTGTCTCACGACTTGGAACATGTCATCAGGAAGGACCAGTCCTTGAGAAAGTCCCTATGCTTGGTGAAATCGAGGATCAGTGAAAAGGAGGAAGACCCTCAAGGAGATGATGGACACAGTGAGGCTGGTGCAGGACTGGGCAGTGTTCTGGTTTTCCTGGGATTGCTGTTGGTCCTAATACAACTAGCTCAAAAGCAACACAAGACAGGTGGTTAAAAAGGTAAAAGCAGATAGTGCAAGCACAGGCACGTCATTTTCTCTTAAAGGCAAAGTAAATCTTTCGTTTCTCACCTCTGATTTTAAAACTCTTGTTTGTAAATAAATGATGGTGATAAAACACTAAATATTTTAATTCAGTTCCTCAGATGTTAGCAATGATGGTTGATCTGGAAGAGGACGAGGACTGGGCAAATGCTGACGAACTAGAAGATGATGATTTTGACAGGTAATTGTAGAAACCAAACACAGTTTGTAGTGGAGCAAAGCCTGTGTTGACCTAAACTAAACTTTTTAAGTTTAGACTGTGAGGGTACTTAACACTTTTTATTGGAGTACTGATGCGGTGCTGTAGGATAAGCACTTGAGTGCTAACCAGAAAGTTCGTGGTTCAAACCCACTAGCTGTTCCTCAGAAATATCCTATAAAGGATTGCTTTGAGTCAGAACTGACTTGACATCACTTAACAACAAGATTTCTATTGTATGTATTTCTGTGTCAATTTGTAAATAGTATGTTGCTTGTTCATGTATTGCTTGTATTAGTAATGTTTAAATACATGTAATGAAAGTTAATTAATGGTACATTTTTAGTAAATGTTGTTAGGTTGCCATCATGTCGATTCTGACTCAATAACCCTGTATAGAGTTGTTGAACAGCTGGTGGGTTCTAACTGCTAACCTTGCAATTACCAGTCCAATGCTTATCTAACAGTGTCACACTAGGGCTTCTTAATAATATATAAAACAATTTTGTAATTGTTAAGTGCTGTCGAGTTGGTTCCAACTCATAACAACCCTGTATAGAGTTTCCGAGGAGCAGCTGAATAGCGGAACTGCCACCTTGCAGTTCACACTAGCCCATTAATCCACAACACTATACCAGGTCTCTGTAGGATAGCAACAGATAGTTTAACTGTAGAAAAACTTCTAACCTGAAATAGAGCAAATAAAATACGAGGGAGAGTCAGAAATTACCTGCACTCTGGCTGTAGAATTTATTTTGGTAGACTTTTTTTTTTTTTTAAGATGCCATTTTTTTCTTTTTAAATACAATCTCCTTTTCAATACACTTTGTCAACAAACTTTCATTTTCACTTATTAAAAAATGTTTTAGGCAGAGCTGTGAGCCATGAATGCATTGCTGTCCTCACTTCATCAGAGGTGAGTCTTTGTCCTCAAAAGGCTCCTTTCAGGGAACCAAACAGGTGACAGTCTGATGGAGCAAGATCAGGACTATAGGAAGGATGCTTTGACATCTCAAAACCAAGTTTTTTTAGAGTATCAACGGTTTGCGCAGAGGTGTGTGGTTATGCATTGTCATACAAGGTCACAGCATCCTTTGGTGACAGTCCTCTGTGTAATCTGAATCTGAGGCTTCAGCTCTTCAGTGAGCGTCTCACTGTAACAAGCACTGTTAAGTGTTGAACCTTTTTCCTGATAGTGTTCTAGTAGTGGCCCTTGAGAATCCCAGAAAACTATAAGCATCAATTTTCCAACTGATGGTTGACTTTTGAATTTTTTTTTTTTTTGGTTGGCGATAATGTTTTCATTCCATACTCTGCTGTTTTCTCTCAGGCTTGTACTGATGAATCCAGGTCTCCTCACTAGTAACTTTTTTTTTTTTTTTAAAGACACTTACACTCCTTTGAGTTGTATTGGTACAAATTTTGCTCACGGATCCCCAAATACTGTTTCTATTCTTCCTTGAGTCCTTTTGGAACTCATATCACCCCAGCTTTAGAAGCCCAAGCCTGTCATGGGTTGTTTCACAGGCAGAGCCATGGCTGATTTGTAAGTGCATTGTTACATAATCCAGTGTCACTCGTCTGTTGAACAGAATGTTTTCACGTGCCCACTCAACATGGTCAGTCATCAGCTATGGACGTGGGTGGGCGTTTTAGGTAACCTGAGTGTGGATAATTTTTGACTACCCCTCATGGTCATCCTTTATCTAGTTTAATCCAAATTTCCTTTGAGCTTTTTTAGTTTGAATGCCTTAATGTAAAGAAACTTACGATATGTACCTTTTATATGCTTAGGCCTCATTTAGAATTACTGTTTCTGCAAAATTCCTTGCAAAACACCAGATTTTACCCCATAATATACTTTAACTTAGGATAAATGATACTCTGTAACATAGAATCACGGTTTTTGCTTATTTAGACTCAGAAGACCTTTGTGAATACTGATTCCTGTTGCTGTTAGTGGTGATGAGGATGTTCCCTTACATGTCCAGCACATATGAAATGTAGCACTTCAGGGCTTTGTTATTTTCACTGATCTTAGGATTCCTAAAACTATATTATTCCTGTGGCTGCAGACAATAAGCACTGTACTGTAAACCATAAGGCCTGCAGTTTGTACCCATTAGCCGCTCTTCAGGAAAAAGATGAGGCTTTCTGATGCCACGAAGATTTAAAGCCTTGGAAACCCTATGAGTCTTTACTGGTCCAATGGTACTTAAAACCAATTAAACGAGTTAGTACTACTGTATCTCCTTCTCTTCCCAACATGTCATATGACCACCCTTCTTAAAAAGAACTGACAGTGTTCCACAGGAAGCTGGAGGTATAAGTTACTATAACAGATTAACAGTCAATGCCACTGCATTGATTCTGATTCCAGGGAACCCTCTAGGATCAGGATAGAACTGCTGCTTAGGGTTCCAGAGACTGCCTGGTCGTCTTTCCACTGAGCATGAGCAGCTGGTAGGCTTGAACAGCCCAACACTTAACTCACTGTACCACCTTAATGCAATAGGAGTAACTTGACGATAGCATTCCAGGCTCACTCTTGGGCTTTGACACCTTGATTGCCTTGACTGCCTCCCCTTACCTTCTATCCCCTCAATCTAAGCTTGGTTTCACTAAGGAGAGGCACAAAACCTGAAGGTAAGTAAAGAGGGCTGACTGTCAAAGTGGTGTTAATCATCCCTCACAACTTCAAAAATCGTGTTTGAAAGACTTCTTGAATTGAACCTTTTTCAGTCCTAGCATAATAACTTCTTTAACAGTGCATTTATTTGTGTGCTATGTAACTCTGAACTAGTTTCCAGTGTGCTGAGTGCAGTGTTTTGTTGTTTAGCAATGCTGTTGCTGGTGAGAGTGCTCTGGACCGAATGGCTTGTGGACTTGGTGGGAAGCTCGTGCTCCCCATGATCAAGGAGCACATCATGCAGATGCTTCAGAACCGTGAGTTGTCTGTCCTTCAGATGCCAGGGCCTCACTGTTACATGTATTGTCAGTTCTACCTCCCAGGATTGCTTTCGGTGTACTGAAAAAGTCAGGTTCTAAGGAAAATTTACAGATTTACTTCCTACCCAGGAATATTTTTTTTTAATTTAAGACATCATTATTTTATGAAATAGGCATCATGGTGTGGCACTGTAGGATAAAACACTGCACTGCAAGGTTGGATGTTCAAACCCACCAGCCACTCCTTCAAACCCTTAACAGGGTCACTATGAGTTGGGAATCGACAGCACTTAACAAAAATAATTTTACAGTTAGATTCCTATAACCTTCTTTTATTCACTATCCTTTTTTTTTTTTCCAATTACTTGAACATTTTTATACAGAAAGACTTTTTCCTAAATCTTAAATATACTAGAGCAATGCCGCTTTTTTGTGTTGCGGTTTAAAGGTAATGTTAATATCGGGACATTTTTGTTTGGACAGCTGGATCCTCCACTGCTTCTGCTTTTAGTCTTGGGATTTCACAAGTGTAAACTCTGAAAAATTCCACTGTATTCTCAGAGAATAAGAGTAAAAAGAACAAATATTCAAGTATAGGAATGATTTGACCTAGTGTCCCCGAACAGGTCTCTGCACCTCCAGTGGCTACAGGTCATGCTTCTAGACTGACTGCCCCACACAGAGGCTAGCTTTATAGATCTTTGTAGATCTTGCTTTGTTCCACCAGGAACTCCAAGCAACCTAGAGTTAGCAGTTAAGTAAACCTTAAGTCTTTTGAAATCAGAGGAAATGTAACTAGGGAAATCATGAACTCCTTATTCTCAAAACACAGCAGTATGTGACAGAAAATTTAGCTATTGATTATAGTGAAGTCTCATTTTCTTTACCATCCCCAATGGTATTTGTTAATTCTGTCCTTTTCTCCTGTTTGTTGGATCTGCTGCAAACACTGTTGGCATTAATAAGATACTGTTTAGCAATAAATTTTGGTGGAGTTTGGAAGAATACTTAAAATGATCATAAATGGTTGATATAAATAATGATAAGATTTTTGCTTCCATGTTGCCTCTTCACCTTTGCATTGTACATGCTTGTGTGTATTATAAGCACTTTTAAATGTCAGTTTTCTAGTTCATAAGTTTTTTTTTTTCCCCCAAGCTATATGGGGAACTTCTTGCAGATTAATGAGTCTAGTTTCTCTAATTGCTTCCCTGTAGCCGACTGGAAGTACCGGCATGCAGGGTTGATGGCCTTATCTGCCATTGGTGAAGGATGCCACCAGCAAATGGAAGGAATTCTGAACGAGATAGTGAATTTTGTTTTGCTTTTTCTTCAGGATCCTGTAAGTACCATAAGTATCTGATTCCTTGTTATTGCTGTAGTTGCATTTGGGAGCATTGCCTGTACTAAATCAAGAAATCTATTCCAGCATCCGAGAGTGAGGTATGCAGCCTGCAATGCTGTAGGACAGATGGCTACAGACTTCGCACCTGGCTTCCAAAAGAAATTCCATGAAAAGGCAAGTATCAGGCCTTCAAACACTCCAGTGGAACTTGGAAAAGAGGAGTTGGGCATTCAAAGATTTGGTTGGTTGGCCTTGTGTTGTAGGTGATTGCGTCACTGTTGCAGACCATGGAAGACCAAGGCAATCAACGTGTGCAAGCCCACGCCGCAGCTGCCCTCATTAACTTCACTGAAGACTGCCCCAAGTCGCTCCTCATCCCATATTTAGATAATTTGGTGAAACATCTGCATTCTATCATGGTACTGAAACTTCAAGAGGTAAATTTTCCAGTCTTCTTGTTTCTAGAGGTTGGTTTGATGGTGAGCAAAGCTCAGAGAAAGACCTCATCTCAGCATGGTGTAAAGAACAGAAAGGTAGAGGCAGACTGGGGGTGGTAGATTGCCTCCTATTCCAAGGAGAAGAAGGACTCGGCTTGACTTAGAGCATGGACTGATGTTGGGATTGGGAAGGTGTGGTCTACAAAGGCACAATTAATGTATGGGCTGCCTTGAAATTAAGACAGAAGAATTGGTGAGCTCTGATTTATATGAATTTGGAAGAATCATTTTATGTTCTTAGATGATGTGAGAAGTATAAAGTGATTGTAGGAAAGTTAGCATGGCAGTATTGTGTGAGGTACACACACAACAAACAGGATAAAACTTATGGGAACATGATCATTTCCAGGAAACTGATGATTCTACAAGACGTTTCACAGGGAACATTAACAGGTAGTTGGGCTTTTTCCTGCCAGTTTAAATTTTAAAAGATGAAAGGATAAAGTGATCAAAGTTTAGCCTGCTTTATACTGAGTAACAAAAGTAGATAAACGGGAAAAGAAAATCCTTTTTGTTTTACATTTTTAATTAGGGTTGGCTAACTAAGAAGAGAAAAAGAGTCCTGGTGTGGCTCATAGACTAAGCACTGGACTGGTAACCACAGAGTCAGCAGTTCAAACCCACCAGCTCCTCTTCAGAAACTGTTTACAGGTTCGCTGTGAGTCAGAACCAACTCAGCGGCACTTAATAGCATCACCACCTTAAGGAGAGAGAGTTTATAGTCAGTTTAAGTGAGAGATAAGTCTGAAAGCAGCAACTGGAATGATGTTAGTATAGCAGCAGCATGTGTGAAAAAGATGATGTTAATCAAAGCAATCCTCAAGTCATCCGAGGAGAAGGATCAGGGTTTTTCAAAGCATGATGAACCATTACTGACGGGCTGATGAGAGAACAAGGAGGAAGACTCAGCAAGTGTCTCAAAAGCCAAAAAAGAATTTCGAAGGTTGAGTGTTCACTGTTAGGTGAGATAGAGCAAAAATGTGATACAAGAAGCATTTGTGGATCTGAAGACAAAGAAGTGAAACCAAATTGAAGCAGGGGCAGGTTGATTAAATCAGGACAAGGTGGATGTAGGTTCACTTTAAACCTGTTGGGATAGCGATAGAGACAGTCAGGAGACCTCTGTCTCCCTGCTTCCCCAGAGAGTCAATGGGAGGATGTCTAAAACTTGAGAGATGGCATTACTGAGAATGAATCTTATGAAGAGAGGGTAGCCTTGAAACTCTAGTTGAGGGGAAAGGTGGCCTTCTGAGATCTGGGCAAGGTCAAGACATTAAGTATGGAGCAGGTGTTGAATTACAGAAGTAGGGAATAAGATAGCTTCTTAGGGGTGTTAGAAAGTTCTTAATCCATAGTGAAGTCCTCTATGTGAGTACAGCTGATGAGGCGAATAAAGAAAATCCCGTTTTCTCCAGGTATTTCTATGAACCCGTAAAGAATTAGGATTTTGCGCACGCATACACACACACATATCGTTAAGAGCCATCAAGTCGGTTCTGACCCATTACAACCCTGTATAGGGTTTCCAAGGAGCAGCTGGTGAGCTTGAACTGCTGACCTTGCAGTTTGAACGGCTTTGCAGTCTGGCACATTAACCCACAGCGCCACACCAGGACTCCATATATATGTATACACACACATATATATGTGTATGTGTTATTAAGTGCTGTCGACTCAGTTCTGACTCATACGGACCCTGTATAGATAGGGTTTCCAAGATGTGGCTGGTGGGTTTCACCTTGAGGTTAGCAGTTGTACACAGCCCCACACAAGGACTCCATACAAACCTTGGAGGTACTATACAGATTTGGTTTCAGGCCACTGCAATACGAACTACATGTATTGTTTCTTTTTTTTCCAGTGCACATAAAAGTCATACTATTATAAAGAAGTTGGATAAACTGTGAACATTATCTAAATGTGACAGAGGTTTAGTGTGCACATGTGATTGGACAAATGGTTCCAATAGACCTGATCAGCACTGGGTTGCCAGAAACCTTCAGTTTGTTTTTAAAAATACTCAGTATCTGGAATGCCACACAGTGAAGTGTTAGAAAACGAGGTCTGTCTGTATATGTGCTGCCAGGTGACAGCATGGACCCGGTGCAAATAGTCAAGTGTTCATAACGAGTCAGCTCAGCAAATACCAGCCAGATCATTGGCTTAGGACAAATGAAGTTCTCATGTCTTTTACCAAATGGAGAACCAGATGCCAGAGAGAGCAGCAGGGTTCGTTAGACAGTGACAATGGGGGGGGGGGGGTCTGTGCTATGCAGTTGGTTCTGACTCGTAAAGACCTGCATAGGGCTTCTGAGGCTATAAATCTTGACCGGAGCAGAAAGCCTCATCTTTCTCCCACGGAACGGCTGGTCATTTCAAACTGCTGACCTTGAGGTTAGGAGCCCAACTCAGGAGCACTACACTGCCCGAGCTCCTTAAGAAGATAGAGGAATAGACTTCAAAGGACCTTTTCTTCAACACCTAGTAGGGCCGCCACTAGCACAAAGTGTAGAGTAAGTAGCGAGATTGACAGTTAGAGAAAAGTAAGCCTGGTGACTCCACACATTCAGAAGTTAGGGTTTGTACTCAGCTAGCTGTGCTTTGAAATAAAAATAATAAAGGATTTCTGGTGTGGTGCTGTAAGATAAGCACTGGACTGTAAGATCAGTCTGAACCACAAGGTCAGTGGCTCAAACCCACCAGCTGTTCCTTAGAAACAACACCACCAACAATTACCAGAAGAGATCAAATTCCACAGAAACAGTTGGTGGATGATTTTTCTAGAGATTTGTTCCAGAACCTGTAGTCACTGTTGTGGCTTCTAACAAGGTGACCTCCGCTTGCTGCCATCCCAGGAGCAATTAGGAGTTTCTGCCAGGTGTGGTCTTCGTCCTGAGAGTGCAGGTTCAGCTGTCTCTTGTTTCACCAGGCCTGCACAGGTGACGATTGCTTCCAGTCTTTGTGTGTGTTTAAGTAATGTATTCTGTCTGTGTCTTCCTTATAGTTGATTCAGAAAGGCACCAAGTTAGTTTTGGAACAAGTTGTGACGTCCATTGCGTCAGTTGCAGATACTGCAGAAGAAAAATTTGTCCCTTACTATGATTTATTTATGCCATCACTGAAGCACATTGTTGAAAATGCCGTTCAAAAGGAACTCAGACTTCTGAGGGGGAAAACGATTGAATGCATCAGCCTCATTGGTCTGGCTGTTGGGAAGGAAAAAGTAAGTGATTTGCTGTGTGTTGACTCTGTGTAGTTTGGCTGTGGAGGGATTGAGAGTCCTAGAGGACTATTTTCCTTAACTCAGTCAGCTGAAAAATTCTCCTTCCCTGCCACACTTGTATTATGTCTCTTAGGAGGCACGTGGCCTTCCTATGCTTGTATTGATCCGTTATAACTTGATTTGGGAGCTTGCCACTTCTTTTAGGGTTGATTCAGTAAGCATCAGGTAGGTCCTACAAGGAACATCTATGTTCATGGAGCTCTCCAGAAAATCATTCACAAGAACCATTGGCTTTTACTTCTGCCCGTCAGCATCTCCGAGTTGTCACAGCTAACCCAGAAGTTGCTCTGTCATCTGCTCGTGTTGAGACCCTCAGATGAAACTTGGCTCCTTCAAAGCCAGCATCAGTATTCATTTACCTTGTAAACATTGTTGTGAGACCTGGAGAACTCACCAGTAATGTGTTGCAATGTAGATGAGAAATGCTTGATACATTGATTTTAGTTGTAGGATTATGAAGATACAGGGAAAGTTAATAGTTTTTTGCTTTTGTTGTATTTTTTAAAGTTTCTGTATGCCATTTTAAAAAAAAAAGTAACAAGTAGCACCTCCCTTCTTTGATATAAGCTAGTAATATTGGCAATAAAATATTCCTAAATACTGTATTCTAGTTCATGCAAGATGCATCCGATGTGATGCAGTTGTTATTGAAGACCCAGACAGACTTCAGTGACATGGAAGACGATGATCCTCAGGTAAACAACCTTGAGCCATTTATGAGTTGCAGGATCACACAAGGTGAAAGGTTTTGGTTTTGTTTTGTTTTTAATGAGTACTAGGTTTCTGGATAATACCAGCCCTTGTTTTAAGGAAATTTTTTACTGGTTTGCTTTTCTTTCCCATGCCCTTTTTCCTCAATGTGTTGTAGGTATCTCCTGCTTCTTCCTCTGATTTTAAATTATTGTACCCTTGAAGGTTCTGTCTTAGGCCCTCTTATCTTTTCGGTCCTTTTGAACTGTATTCTCCACTTCAGTTCTCCATTGTATGCTCTCAGGATTTCAGGTGGTCAACCATTACTGGACATCTGGATGTCTCCAGGGCTTTTGAATACACCTTGACCTCCCTCCCCTGCCCAAAGAAAGTATAGAAAGTCTGCCATCTCCGGCAAGAAATACAATAATCCCATCTTCACTTCCCATTTCTTTTCAGTAATCCTCTTAGTCTTCTAAACATCTTTTAAATCTGTCCGCATTTCTCTTCCTCATACCCACACCATCATGTGATCATACCAAACACCATAATGTAACTGTGGCCCTTCATGTTTCCTTGGTTGGTGAAATGTGCCACGTTCCCAGCTCTCTGCCTGTGACAAATGTACCTTGAGCTGATTCTCACAGTCTCCTTCCCACCCATCTCACCTGGCTAATGCCTACTCATATTCACCTCCTTTGTAAGATGGTCCTAATTTTCCAAGCCTCTGGTGGGCACTTAGGATATTGGGTTGTGATAACATTGTAACTGCCTCGTAATTTCAGTGGTTTTCATAAAGCCGTTGAATATACCAGGCATACCAGGCACTTTGTAAATAATTATAGAGTTCAGTTTTCCCTTTACACTGCCACACTATGATTGTTCTCCATCGCTGAAGTAGCTAAAGAGACTAGGATGGAGTAGAGTGTCAATAACTTCGATGCTTAGTTGGGTTTTGTGTTTTGCTTTCCTATTTCGGGCTTTATTAGGAAGGCTTGTGTATACATAACGCATATATCTGCATGTAGACAGAAGACTGGAAGGGTGATAACGCTACTAACTAAAGAGATTAAGGGATTGTGAGCTCTGAGGAAGGTGTTGGGGGGTGGGGTCTAGAACACCTGGTGTGTGGGACCCACAAGTATATCCACGGAGTCGGGCATTTCAGGAAATTCGTGGGAAAATTCCATGGTCTTTAACTTCCATTTCTCCGTGAACTTTTTAAAGCACCCTTGTTATTTGTGGAATAAATCTGCTTTCGTCTTACAATTAAAATGATTGGTTTTGTTTTAATAAAAGTGGGGGGAGAAAGAAGATGTTGTGTGTGTCACACAGAGAGACAAAAACAGACTCACTGTAAGGGCTGCAAGAGACTAACCTTAATTAAACACAGTAGCAAGAGAAGGCTGTGCCTTCAGTGTCCCTAGCCACTTAGATAGAAAGCTGTTAGAACTGAGAAGAGAAGGAGATGTTGTGTTTCTTGGGTGCTAATGTTAAAAGTAAAACAAAGTAGGCAAGACCTTGGTCTTTCTGTTGTTTGCCCTGCTCTTTAGCCATATTCCAAAATAAGAGTTCATGGCCGTTTGGGTGTTGATTCTGAACACTATCCGTAGATGGGCATGGAACGTGCCCTCGTTGTTAAAGGAGTCAGAGCATGGCAGTAAACCTCTGTGTATGGGATACCTAGAGGGTTTCTTTTCAGATAAAAAAACCAATCCATAGGCTTTTAAATCAATTTCATTTTCATTTTCTTTCCAGATCTCTTACATGATCTCAGCATGGGCCAGAATGTGCAAAATCCTTGGGAAAGAATTTCAGCAGTACCTTCCAGTAGTTATGGGGCCTTTAATGAAAACAGCTTCAATTAAGCCTGAAGTCGCTCTTTTAGATAGTAGGTATCTTCATGGGGACATGTGACTCCTAAAGTTTTCTTTATGATACTCGTACCATGAATTTATTTTCTTCCTGTAATAGCTCAAGACATGGAGAGTATGAGTGACGATGATGGCTGGGAATTTGTCAATCTTGGAGATCAGCAGAGTTTTGGTATTAAAACTGCAGGACTGGAAGAGAAATCAACTGCTTGCCAGATGTTGGTAAGTGATCATATCATAGTTTTTACTAAACTTGATTGTACAGCTTCTCATAGTAACATGTATTGATGTTTCGTAGATGCTAGTGATAGTGTTGGAAGAGCCAACACTGGCCATAATCAATACAATGGCAACGATTTTGTTTTCTGATTGGGTTCATTTTCTTGAATTTCCATCATAAAGAAATGATAGTGCGACTTTCAATAACAGAAAACAAAGAAACAAACAGTAGCCAGCCTGAATGCCTGTTAGTAGTGAAATGATCAGTGAACGCTGAGCCTGCTCACGTGGTGATAGGAGGAGCTGCAGGAGGGCAGCAGGGAGCCTCAGTGAAGGTGCCTTTCCAATGGGTGCATTAATGGGTGCATTCTTATGCTCTTTTTCTTCATTTAGAAGTGCATTTCTTGAAGCCTTGTCTTCAGTACTTAATCCCTATAACATAAAGGTATTGCATTTTTGTGGTATCTTTCTCTTTGAACTGGAGAGCAAATATACATGGAATGTTTTTCATAAAAATAAAGCTTTAATTAAGACTGTTTGTGTCTTAGAATTGTTTTTCTTAATTGGTGTAGTTCATATACTAGGGGACTTTCAAGAAGTTTGTGGGAAATTCCATTATCTTTTTGGTCTATTTTTCCATGAACTTTTTGAAGCGTCCTTGTATTTTGCATGATGTATGTATTTTCAGAGCACTTTAAACCTCTGGTTATAATTCTCTAACACTCAAGAAATAAAATATGACCTATAAGTCCTAAGGAGCTCTGGTAGCATAGTGGTTATGAATTGGGCTGTGAACCTTAAGGTTAACAGTTCGAAACTACCAGCTGTTCACGGGAGAAAGATGAGGCTTTCTGCTCCTGTGAAGATTTACAGCCTCGGAAACGCTGTACAGGGTCGTTCTGAGTTGGAACCAACTCCACAGCGTATAACCACTAACAACCATAAGGCCTAATGCCAGTCACATGAGTCTGCTGTTTGGTAAAAATAGTAATTTACCCTGAAAAGTAACCTGTAGCTTCTTTGGTTCAGGTTTGCTACGCGAAGGAGTTAAAGGAAGGCTTTGTGGAATATACAGAACAAGTCGTCAAGCTGATGGTCCCGTTACTGAAATTTTACTTCCATGATGATATCCTGTTACTGAACACAAACCTGTCTACAGTTAGTAAAATGGTAGCTCGTTTCCAAATACCAGACTCCACATTAGCTGAAGACTCTTAGCAACCCCTGTGTGTCAGAGTAGAGCTGTGTACCACACGGTTCTCAGGGTCTGACATTGCCAGGCCAGCCTTCCACAACACCGCTGAGTGGTCTGGAACCTCCAGGTTTTCCGTTTTCAATTGACAGCTGAGTGGATTAACTCTTTGCACCATTTAGGGCCTCCAGCATAAGGACAGTTCCAGTAAAATGCATATCGTGTAAATGTCCATGCCTTGACACACCTGCAGTGTTGTACACAGTTTCATGGTTGTTAAGTGCTATCTCGTCAGGTTCCCGAGGAGCTTGAACCACCGACCTTGCAGTTCAAGCCGACATTACAGTGGAGTGCTTTATCCGTCAGCACCACACCAGGACTGCTCACTGTCCGATAGATAGGAAAGGGAAGATGTGCTGAATGTTTCCTCATAGATGCGTAGGCTTTGGACAGGGAGACACACACGTTATGTTTAGCAAACTCTTGGCTAGCTCAGATTAACAGACGTTGTAGTGAGCACAACAACATTTCTGTAAGTCTTCAGAGGCTGCGCACTGATTGCGTTTCCTTAACAATAACACGTGTTCGAGTGGCGGCAGCAGAATCCATGCCCCTTCTCCTGGAATGTGCAAGAGTCCGAGGTCCCGAGTACCTCACACAAATGTGGCATTTTATGTGTGATGCCCTCATCAAGGCCATTGGGACAGAACCCGACTCAGATGTCCTCTCAGAAATAATGCACTCTTTCGCAAAGGTGAGTATCCCTTCAAGAAGAGGGATGTGTGTGTGTGTGTGTATTGCTAAACAAATTAGGGGAAAGGTTGGGTTGTGGTTTTTGATGTTGCAAAGGGATGTCAAAAAGGTCGTGGGAAAATGAGAGCATTACTAGGTTTTACCAACTTTTTGGAGCCCCGCAAATAGCCTTTTCTTTTCTGAAAACGTTCGATCCTTACTTGATTTCGGTATTTGCGTGTTGCCCTTATTTTTGTGTTTTAAGAGTGACCACTTTTTGGTTGCATTGTCAGGAATTACAACCATACACTGAGAAAGCCCAGAGTATTGCGACCTCTCATACTGCGTCCGCTGTCAGCCCCTGCTATGATCCCCCTTCTTAATTCCACTATATTATTTTTTCCGTTGCTGCCTTTTATTTGTGGTGTTGAAATAGCCATATTTGGCCCGCTCCAGAGGTCTCCACAATAGTGAGATAGGTGTCGTGTTTCGTTCTGTTGTGCATGAGGTCACATGAGTCAGTATCGACTCAGCACCTAACAACAGAGAAGTGTCCCGCCTTAGTCTTAAACTGTCCACCACCAGCTTCCAGAGAACTTGGTCCACAACGTTGTATAAATAAAACCTCATCCTCACCTCATTTTTTTGTCCTGTAGTCTTGGTGTGGTGCTGTAGGATAAGCATTGGACTGCCAGCCATGAGGTCGGCAGTTCAAACCACCAGCTGCTCCTCCAAAACCCTACGTAGGGAGCTGCAATAGCACGTTGCAATTCAGACTTGAGTCTTTCCAAAGATGCATGATGTTTGCCCTTAGCACCTAAAAGGCCTCTCCAGGGTAAACTCACTTTCTTCATGGCTGTTTGATTTTTGATTTTTGTTCTTACTCTGGTAAGTAACTGAATGGCGGGTGCCGTCCATCTGTACAGTTCAGCGGCGTGGGTCGCACCCACGCTCAGCAGCACCAGCTTTATCACCTTTAACAGAGGCTCAGTGCCACTGACCACTACCATGTGATTCTCAGTGGAGCTGCACTTTTTGTCTTCTTTTAATTGTGCAAATAGACATAATAAAAACATACACTAACAGCTTCTCCATGTATATTTAAGTGGTGTTGACTTTAACTTTTGACTCATTTTTGTGTTGGTGCTGTCAAGAGCCTAGAGTCAGTTCTGATTCAGAGTGACCCTGGGTAGGGATTCTTGGGGAGTAGCTGGTGGGTTTGAACTGCCGACCCTGTGGCTAATAGTCAAGTGCTTATCCTCCAGTGCCACACCAGGAGTCCACAGATGTTGTTGTTAAGTGCTATCAAGTTGATTCCAACTCGGTGACCCTGTGTAGAGTTTCCAAGGTGCAGCTGGTGGGTTTAAACTGCCGATCTTGTGATTCACAGTCCAGTGCTGATACTACAGCTTCACAGAGGAGTTGGTTAAAGTGCCCTGATGATGTTGTAGGTTAGGTGTTGTACTGCTGACTGCAGGTCAGGGGTTCAAACCCACCAGCCGCTCTTCAGGAGAGAAATGAGACTGTCTGCTCCTGAAAAGATTGGATAGTCTGAAAACCCTTTTAATCAAATTCTGCTCTCCATCTCATTAGTGCATAGAAGTAATGGGAGATGGATGCCTTAGTAATGAACACTTTGAAGAACTGGGAGGGATACTGAAAGCAAAGCTTGAAGAGCATTTTAAAAATCAAGAATTGCGGCAAGGTACGTTTCCTGCTTTTATTTCTCAGTGTGATCCTTTATGACCATCTTGGCAACAATTTAAAAACCATCTCTCTATTTGGGTGTGTTTTAGTTAAAAGACAAGATGAAGACTATGATGAACAAGTTGAAGAGTCACTACAAGATGAGGTAAACGACTCCCGAATTTAATTTTTACATGATTTACATCTGACAGCTTTAATGCTTGAGATTCTGATTCAGCCAAATTGCTGTTCTGATGAGATTATCTGTAATCAGTAGCAAAATAGTCTGATTCCGTAATTTACTGAGAGTAGTGGGAAAGTAGCAGCACACTTGCAACACTTCACACACAAGCATTTGGAGTTTATATTTCATTTTACATATTCCTCACAGCAGCCATTTCTGTTTGGTGTGCTTTCACCAGACTAAAGATGAACAAACTCACACTGTGATGTTAAAACAAACAGTTGCTTAAAATGACCCTTGTCAAACTGGGGGCTCAAGCCCAGATCTTTCTCTAACATCAGATTTCTCCTGTACCACAACAGTGCCAATTTCAGTAAAAGTTACAAACATATTCAATGGTGGGTACAATTCTTCACCTTCTTACTTACACATGTCTCTCTAAACACACCACTTGACACCATCAGGTATGTTCAACAATATTTAGAGTCAAGAATGTGTCTAGCCATCATGGTGGGCTGGATCTAAAATGTATAGCTTGTACCAATTCCTTTCCCATTGCCCACTGATAGACCTGAACTACACCCAGGCAGGAAATGGGGTGACAGAAATAAGTGAAAACAGTTACTATTGTTTCATAACCCATATGTGTCTCGGGAGTCTGGAGTAAACAGTTTTAAAATGCATTCGAGGAAGGACATTGCAGTACAGTAGTCAGTACTGGGCAGCCCCTCACCGTTCCACAGGCAAGAAGCTTTAAATGTGGCTATTACAATGGCACGCTTTTTAATACATGTGTTTGTTGGGTTTGTTTTTCAGGATGATAATGATGTTTATATTCTGACCAAGGTGTCAGACATTTTACACTCAATATTCAGTAGCTACAAGGAAAAGGTGTTACCGTGGTTTGAACAGCTGCTTCCATTAATTGTCAACCTAATCGTAAGTGCTATCTCTGATTAACAAATTATTTGAGGCAGTTAACCTCTTATTAAAATATATGAAGTTACATGGTTGGCTTAAATGAGACTTTTTACTTTGTTGCATTTTCTGCTACAGTACCGTTAAGAACCAGTTTGGGTGCACACAACTTGCTTGTGAGAGCCTGTTGAATTCTTACATACAGTTAGGAATTTTGCACCTTTTAAAGACCTTTTCAGGAATATCACTGTAAAGCTGATAGTCTGTATTGAATACTTGTGTCTGTGCATTTCCAGTATTGGAAGCTTCAAAGAATGTCTTTTTTGCAGTGTCCTCATAGACCTTGGCCAGACAGACAGTGGGGACTGTGCATCTTTGATGATGTCGTAGAGCACTGCAGCCCAGCCTCATTTAAATACGCAGAATATTTCTTACGGCCGATGCTCCAGTATGTGTGTGACAACAGCCCAGAAGTCCGACAGGCTGCTGCCTATGGCCTGGGCGTCATGGCACAGTACGGCGGAGAGAACTATCGTCCTTTTTGTACAGGTGCTTGTCTTCATAGTCCAGATGGCCGCCTGGTTCTCTGACACGCTCCTCCCACACAAACTCCCATATCGGTTTCTGCTCCGGAACGGGCGTGAATTTCTCACCTCTATCCTCATAGGCTTCACGGAAGCCCAGAGTCGGACCTGACTCGATGGCACGTGACAACAACAATCCTCATAGAAATGGGAATGCACTCCAAGCCTCATTACACCACACCACACACGTCCCTAAGTACAACCTGATTTTGCATTTTGAGGGTATGCCACCAGGTGCCTTTGGCATGACTGACTGATGATGTCCCCATGCGTGTCAGTGTATAACTATGCTCCATAGGGTGCCAATGACCTGGTTTTCAGAAGTAGACTGTCAGATGTCAGGCTTTGCCTTTGAGGCAGCTCTGGGTGAATTCAAACTTGCAGCCTTTTAGTTTGTGACTGAGCACCAGAAGTCTCAGCACTGCCTGGGCACACTAGCCCTAGCAGAAACCGCTAACCCAAACAGTGCCTTCGGGGTTATTCGGACGCTCAGTGACTCTCTTGCAAAGAGTGCAGTTGTCCCATAGGGTTTCCTAAACTGTCTCACCTTTCTCCTGGGGGTACGTGTTGAGTTCAGACCATTTGGGAGCAGCCAGATATTTGACAAGTGTGCCACCTATAACTGCCTTAGCTCTAGCATTGTTGTTACTAAGGGTCTTTGAGTCAGGTCTGGCTCATAATGACCCTGTATAGGCTTTCCAAGGAGTGGCTGGTGGATTTGAACCACTGATCTTGCCGTTTAAAGTGACCTTGTGGTCCATTGCATGATCTGTAGCAATCTTAAACATCATGGAGTCGCCATGTCACACAGCTGTATTGTCAGGCAGCTTAAAGCCTGGGTGCCCACACGCCAGCATTGTCTCTTGACATCAAAACGCTCTAACCATAGGAAGAGGATAATGTCCTCTTCATTCCTGTGTCTGTTCACTGTAATCTATAACTAGAAATAATATTTGTGTTCCTCTGTATGTCAGTGAGGTCTGTAGCTGCTCTCTTCTCATATGCTTGTTTTAGAAGCACTTCCACTGCTGGTCCGAGTTATTCAGGCTGTGGATTCTAGGACCAAAGAAAATGTCAATGCTACAGAGAACTGCGTCTCAGCAGTGGGGAAGATTATGAAGTTCAAACCGGACTGTGTAAACGTGGACGAGGTCCTACCCCACTGGTTGTCCTGGCTTCCACTTCATGAAGATAAAGAAGAAGCTGTTCAGACATTTCATTATCTGTGTGACCTCATTGAAAGGTAAAGCAGGGGCAGCCTCGCTCTGTCCCCTTCACATCAAACAGTACTTCGGTGCTGTTCTTCTCACCTAATATCTTCATCTTTTCAGGTTTAATCCCACTGTCTCTGTGCCTTGCCTTCAGATGATATATGTTGTTGTTAAATGCTGAGGTTGTCAATCTTTTATGGTAGCAAAAAGCCTCAGATGTATAGGTATATACTCATACTGTGTTTATAAATCATTTTGAGAGAGACCCCATCACAATTCAGGCTGTGTTGTAATGAGCTCTAATTGTGAGTTGTTTGTGACAGTAAAGCCACCATGTGGGTGCAAGCACTAGTTAGAGAAAGCCATGGTGTCTGTCAGGAGGTTCCCGTCCAGTGTTTGTCACACTACCGTGCTTGTGCTAGGAAGACCTTACAGTGTGGCTTAGTTTTGGCTCTCTAAATTGCTGGTGTTTTTCTTTGGATTCAAGAATCTATTGCGTAAAGTGAGTCTACCAGACAAACTTCAAAATCTGACATTATTTATGTTGTTCTATGTCCTCATGTGGCGCTGTAGAGCATAAACACTGGACCATTTGGTCGGTTTGAACCACTTCGTTGGCAGTTCAAACTCACTAACCAGCCCATATTGAAACCCTATGCAGAGTTGCTATGAGTCAGAACCGACTCAACGGCACATAACAACAACATGTCCATGGGCGTAGTTAAGAGTTGGAACAAATCAGATTATAAAACCTGTCAAATCAAAGAAACATTTTTTGTGTTTCTTTCTCTAAATGTGGTGTTGTGCTGTCAAGTCGATTCCAACCCTTAGCGACCCTGTACAGGGTTTCCAAGGATTAGCTGGTGAGCTTGAACCACCGACCTTGCAGTTCAAATGACTTTGCAGTCTGACGCATTAGCCCACAGCACCACACCAGGACTCCCAAATGTAGGTTTCCCTAAATATAAGTCAGGCTCTGGCTTCTGTCATTCTTACTGTTTTGAGTTTGTGAATAAACACAAGGATTGTCATAGCAATCTTTTCCTGGATTGTTTAGGATTGGATGATGGGTCATGTTCTTTCATGTCTGTCTAAGTTCAGGCTCAACTAAATAGTGAATGTGGTCCTCCTACTGAAAACATCAGCAAACACTCCTTTCTAGAGGCACACACCCCGGCCTGCTCCTTTCTCGGAAATGGCCAGAGCTTGGTCATTTCATATCTCTTCTTCAGCTTACTTTGCCCCCGTGTATTTTGAAGTTCAATTTTATTTTAGAAACCATGAAATAACTATGCAAAATTTGTGTTGAGAAACATTTTCTTGGGGTTTTTGTGTGTGGTTTTGTTAAGGTGTTGTGTATAAAGCACCTGTGAGCAGTGTAGTTTGGAAGACTTTTCTATATTTTAAAAACTCCGTATTTGGAGAATTGTTGTTGTTGTTGTTGTTGTTGAGTGCCATCGAGTCGGGTCCGGAGAATAGTGTGTAAATATCTAAGTGCTTTATGATTTTTCCTTAAAAGTTTCATTTATAAAAGTTTTCTTCTCTTTTGTCAGTAATCACCCAATCATTCTTGGCCCAAACAATACCAATCTGCCCAAAATATTCAAAATCATTGCAGACGGAGAAATGCATGAGGCAATTAAACACGAAGATCCTTGTGCCAAACGTCTGGCTAATGTAGTTCGCCAAGTACAGGTAAGCTGAGTTTGTTAAGTTAAAGAAAGGGAAAAAGTATATTTTTGGTATTTATATTAGAAGATGAAAGTAAAAGTCTCCTGATGTAAGAAAATGTTATCTTTATACTTCTTGTTTTAAGTCTTACATTTTATACTTTATAAATACGGGTAAGCTGATTTGGTAAAGTTAAGGAAAAGAAAGCGGGAACATTTTCAATTTTGTTGTTTATACTAGAAGAAAATAGTAATCTAAAGAGCTATGGGAATGTTGTGTTTTTGTTTTTATCTCTAAACAAAAATGTGACACTTGATACAGTATCTTCCCCCTCTGTTGTCATGAACCTCCTAGAACACTCATCATGCAGTAGTTTTTGTGCATATCTGTGAAGAGAAACGTGAGATTTAATAATAAAGAAGTTGTCAGCTTCCAAAATGCTTTGATGATTTTTACTTCTGACGTTAGGAGGCTGGTGGCATACTGGTTAAGCACTCTACTGCTAACCATACAGTCCGCTGTCTGTGCCCACTAGCCGTTCCAGGGGAGAAAGGTCTGCTCCCATCAAGACTACAGCCTTGAAAACCTCTTGGGACACTTGATCTGTCCCATAGGGCTGTTACCTGTCAGATTCAACTCCATGACAATGGGTTTCACAAACTTTGACGGTGTATGTGATTTGTGGGCTACTTCAGTATATCGTCTGCCTAGTTACAGCCTCTGTCAATTCTAAAATGAATGGAGAAAACTCACTGTAAAAGAAATGAACAGATTTCTATTTTTCCCGTGATAATTCATCAAACTAATAACTAAAAAGTATTTTGACATTTTTTTCATCTCTCTGTAATGATTATTAATAAACTTTGAAATGAACATTTCATCATCTCTAAACATCTGCCCTGTTTTATTTTCCCTTCTAGACTTCTGGAGGATTGTGGACTGAATGCATAGGACAGCTCAGTCCCGAGCAGCAGAGAGCCATCCAGGAACTCCTGAACTCTGCTTGAAGGGCCTTAATATCACCCACCTGAAATAACTCCAAATAAACGTTTACCCTTTTGTTTAGGTTTCTTGGTTTTGTTTTTGAGCAAAAGAGAACGAGAGTGTGTGTAGGCCGTTCTTCTGCAAAGCCACAGCGGCAGGAAGAGAAGCACTGTTTGAGAATGGTGTTTAACTGGATTTCTTTCATAACACTGAGGAAATTCCCCGTAAACCCTACAGTAGCACTGAAGAGTATTTTTCTATTGGTATAACCCACCTGTGTCAAGGTGAAAGGGAAAGAGAAGTTTCTCATTAGACAAGATTTTTAAGGAAAAGCCACTTTAGGATCAGTTACTCAGCATAGATTTGCATTTAAACAAATGGCTGTACTGTACGCCTGGTGTTCATTCTGTTCACTGGAGTGTGACTCTCTCCGTAGGGTAGAAGACTTCTTCCTACCAGTAGATCCAAAAGTTGGGAGGAAAGGACTAAGGACTAAACAGCAAGCATGAGCGCCTGTTGACGTCACTTTCAGTCCTTTTTCCCAGAAGGACTTGTGCAGTGACTCACTTTGGAAAGCTTCCAGCCCTGCAATGTGAAGTGTTGTTGGCATGTCTGGCAGTAGTCTCTCATTCACTCCTCAATAAACAACATTGAAATACAAAAGAGGCTTGTGCAAAAATTCACTACTGTCTGGCTTTTATTCATTTAAAGTTTTTAATATAAGAATAATATTTTTTTAAAGTAATAGCTATGGCTCTGAATATTTTTCTTGTGCAATTCAAATTTCAATGCATTTTCGTTTCTACTGACTTCCACTTTAACTTATGCTAAGTTTTAATACACCTGCTTCATTCATAAATTGATGTCCTTTTAAAGTTTGCAGATTTCAGCAGATGGTTTTTTTTAAGCAAGGATTGTTCTGATGAAATCAGAGATTCGGTTTAGTGTTCTCATCACAAATTGTAATTGCTATAGAGCCTCACACTACTTTCAATCTTTAAACTTCACAAATAAGTATTATGGCTACAATTATTTACTGATGAATTCAGCATACTGTGTGAATGTTTTTATGTATTAACCTCATAGCAGTAAATAACTTACTGTCATTTCTTTAAATAAATTTTTCTAAGGGATCTAAACAGATTTCTGTTGAAAACTTCAGTGTTAACATTTTTATAGTTTGTACTAAATTTAACCATGATATATAAATGAATTTTATGCATAGACCAGAATTGAAAATTAAAAGGTGTTTTTTTTCGTTAAGTGATTTGCATTACTTTATTAAAACTAAATACGAAATGGAACAGAAAATAGAATGAATATATATTACAGTGATTGTTAGCAAATACCGTTCAGACGATATTCACCTTTGAACACAGAACCATTATTTAGAATGGCGGTGGGGAACGTGTTAAGTGCCATCAAATCAGTTCCGACCCATAGCAACCCTGTCTAGGGTTTCCGAGGAGCGGCTGGTGAATTGGAACCGCCGACCTGGTGGTTCAATCCAACCTGGTGTGGCATTAGCCCACAGCGCCACACCAGGCCTCCTTGTGTGAAACACGAAATCATTTGCTGTGGTCCTACCAAGGCAATTGCAGTTCCAGCTATCACATCATTGTTAAGTGCTGTCAAGTCAATTCCGACTCAGCCATCACAGTAGGGATGAGTTCATTAAATGTTCGAACAAATACAGCAGGCTAATTTTCTAAGCTGGTAATTTTGTATGACTCACCATGTTAGACCTCTTGGCAGAAAACAGGCTCCCTAGCCCTGATATTTAGGGGTTGGAGTAGCTGACAGTGCAGTGCATTGAGTAACTTCACCAGCAAAGTCATTGTTTTCAATGTGGGTGCCTGTTTAAATCATGGACTGCTTGTGTTGTAATATTTGGAGCTACTTTATAACCCTGTATTCCAGCTGAGAAAAAATGAGAGATGTATGTCAAGACAACCAACTCAGGAGTACTGATAACGGTCGACTGGAACAATTTGTTTTTAATTTGTTACTACTATAGTTAATGTTAAAAATACGGCATTCCTGCCTAAGGTCAGGTGGAAGTAGGGTCAGAAGGGGAGCACTATGCTAAGCACTTATGGGTAGGGATATCCTGCCTGCCTTCCAGTTGAAACGCTAATGAAATCAGAAGACAGCCATGTACAAGGTTTCAGACCCCTGAAGGGAGCGCTCAGATGGGTACAAATCAAAATTCAATACCAGGGGGCTTCAAAAAGTATCTGAGAAAGCGTTTACTGCAACATCCTGCAATGCGGCCCTCATAACTGGTAGGTTGTTCCATGAACTTGTAACAGTTCTTTGAAATGATCTGTAGAAACATTTTTCATACTGTCACGGGTCATTTGACAACCATGATTTGTACTGTGAATTTGGATGGGGGAACGCCTAATCACCGAGGTCCTGCATTTTCTTTAAGCATCTGGAACTTGTGTCTTAGCAGTGATCATGCACGAGCTAAGGGATTCATCTTTGTATTTGGTCTAACGCCCATGTCATTACCAATTTCTCCAAATCTGAGACAGCCCCTCCCCTTTGTGTTAGCCTTGTCCCTCACCATCCTTGGAACCCCTCCCATTGCAGGCACTGTCGGTTCCTTTCCTCAAGTGTCTTCCTTTTTTTGCTGTCACCTAGGGACTGATTCCTCCTGATAACATCCAAAATACAGGACATGACGTCTCGCCATGCTCTCCTAAGGAGAAATCTGGCTGTATTTTCTTCAAGACAGATGTTTTCATTCTTCACCAACAGATCAATGAGCGATTCTTTAGTCATACTCATTGTCCAGCTCTTGTATGCTTATGAGGCAAATGAAAATCCCATGGTGAGTCAAGCATAACTTAGTCTTGGAGGTGGCATCATTGCTTTTGTGAACACTACAGAGGTTTTTGACCACAGATTTACCTAATTCAACAATACATCATGGGCATTAACCGTAAATCCAAGCAAAATGAAAGTTCACAGTGTCAGTGTTTAATGTTTAATGATGTTTATCATTCGGGTTGTGATGATTTGTTTTCTTTATGTTGAGGTGTGATCCATTTTGAAAGCTATAGTCTGACCATCCATCAGTGCTTCAAGTCTGCATTTTCAGCAAGGAAAATTGTGACTCATTAATGACACTTCTTACAATCCTGATGCCGAGTTCTTCATAGAATCCAGCTTCTTGAATCAGTTGTTCAGCCTACGGATTGAGTGAGTCTGGGGAGAGGATGAGTTCCGACACACCTTTACTGACCTGTGCATCTTGTTCCTGATCTTGCTCTGACCAACCGCCTCGTGATCTGTGTACGGGTGCCTCAGGAGTACAAGTGCTGTGGGATTCCCAGGCTTACAGGAGTATCTGTCATTTATCAAGATCCACATGGTTCATTGCCTTTACATAGTCAATCAAGAATGGTTCTGATATTCTCTGCTTTCAGCAAAGATCTATCTGATACAGCATTCATCACTTGTTTCTTCCCCTTTTGTAAGTCCTACTTGAATGTGGTTAATGCAGTGAACTGCAGTGTCGGTGTGGGCTGTGAAGGCTGGCGGTTCTAACTCACCAGCTGCTCCTTGGAAGCCCTGTGTAGGGTCACTGAGTCGGGTCCCGACTCGATGGCACTTAACAACAAGCAGCTTGGATTTCTGGCAGGTGTCAGTCATCTGTAGCCAATTTTGAATTACCTTCATCTAAAATGTACCTGTATGTGATATTAATGATACTGTGAAAATTTTTGCAATCCATTAGCTCACCTTGCCTTGATACGGACACAAATATCAGTAAGTGGGCCAGTTCACAGGCTTGTAAAGGTTTAGTATACATGCGTGAGCACTTCCAGCACTGAATCCATTTGTTAACACGTCTTAATTGGTATTTAGTCACTTCCTGAGCGGGGGGAGGTGGGGGGGTGATTCTGTACCAATCCGTTAATTTTGCTAAAAGTTGACCTACGGATAATTTCGGTTCTACATTTAAGAGCTCTGGTAGCGTAGTGGTTACGAATCGGGCTGCGAACCTTAAGGTCAGCGGTTCGAAACTACCAGCTGCTCCGTGGGAGAAAGATGAGGCTTTCTACTCCCGTAAAGATTTACACCCTCGGAAACCTTGTACAGGGTCGCTATGGGTCGGAACCGACTCGACAGCACTTAACAACAACAGGGCAGTAGTGTCAGAGGGTCCTCTAATCTCAACTGGTCCAGTAAGTTTGGACTTGGAAGAATTTCAGCTCTGTTTTTCTCCCATTCGATCTGGGTCTGTGGTTGAACAGCACTGTGGGACAGCATCTAGTTCCTTTGTTCTCAGGTTAGATGAGAAGGTGGCTCGTGTAGGCTGCTGGCCTTCTAGACAGTTTCTTCTAGGACGGAGTTGGCTTGTGTTTTGTTTTTAAATGCTGTCAACAAAATAATATAAAATTTCTTTAAGTAAATTTGTCTTAACGCTAACTTGATGCTTCTATAATGAGAGGCAACTTTGTCAAATTGCAGATTTATAGTTTGATTACCAGAATCATCAGTAAATCTGTAAGCAAATAAACATTCCTAATATACTTGGTCACATAATAGATACGGGAAGGGTGCATTTTACAGTGCTGGAAGCTTTATATTTTTATGATCTAGACATTTTAGATAATTGCCTCTCCAGAGCTGTGAATAGACAATTTAGAAGGTTGTGAGGAGCCATCTAAATGTTTTACTTCATTCTAAGGGTGTTGTTACTTTAAACGGTTTTCTGGCTCTTGTAGAAATCACTTTGCCTCTTATCTCTCTTTACCACAAAAAAGTAATAGTGAAAACCTGCCTTTTTTCACTTACCTAACGAGACTTCAGTTGTGGCACTGTGGATCAACACTGGACCATGAATCACAAGGTTGGCAGTTCAAATCCACCAGCTGCTCCTCGAAACCCTATAAGGTCACTATGAGTAGGAACCGATTTGACTGCACTTAACACCAACAACAAAGAGATTTTCACCCTTTAAAGTAGAGGTCCCCTGTCTTAGAAAAGGAATTGGCCGCAAGCTGTTCAAATCAGACCTGCTAGATGACTGGGTGTTTCTATTTCCAGCACTTGGATTTTTGAGGGCATGCATATGTGTGTGTTTTCGTCTAAAGTACCCTGGACCAGACAACTATAATCCTGACAGTTGTTTATTATACAATATATGGACCTACTGTTAGAGGGGCTCTGGTAACGGAGTGCTTACAAGCCCGGCTGCTAACCTCAAGGTCAGAGGTTCAAAAGTACCAGCCACTGTGTGGAAGAAAGATGAGGCTTTCTGCTCCCATAGAGATTTACAGCCTCAGAAAGCCTAAATAAGGTTTATACAAGGAGGCCTCAACAATTTTGTGGAAAAATGGAATTAAAAAGATAATGGAATTTTTCTACGAACTTTTTGAAGCACCTTCATATCTATATGTTTGGATGAACGAAGGCAAACAAGATAAATTGTAGCTAGAGTATTATTTCTAAAGAATGAATCCCAGAACAATGCAGTGTGATTTTTAGTCAAAGGGCTACACAATTTTGAAGAAACCAAAATCCAGTTAAGGCAGCAGAGTATAACTCTGAAATACATTCTTTCATAATTCCGGATCTTTTTTTTTTTTTTTTAATTTTTTATTGTGAATTGAGAAAAGGTTTAGAGAGCAGATATCAGTTTTACATTCAACAAATCATATACTTTGTTTCATTACATGGTTACAGTCCCTCCCTGTACCACCAGTTCATAGGCTTTACCTCTCTTTAACTCTTGCATTCCTCCTTGGGTATTCCGCTATCTTCTCCTCTGCTAACGTCCCTCCTGGTGTGTGTCACCTGCCCTGTCACCCATGTTAACTTGTGTCTACCCCTCTAGCCACTGAATAATTTTTCCTCCCCCTCTGCCTGTAACTATCATAGAAGGTTTCTTTTATTAAGAAAACCTTTTCTTAACTTTTTTCATTGGTCTCATATAATATTTGTCCTTTTGTAATTGATTACTTTCACTCAGTATAATGTCCTCCAGGTTCGTCCATGTTGTGAGGTGTTTTTCAGTTTCATCATTTATAATTCAACATTTTGTAGTAGTAGTTGTGTGTATTTACCAGAGTTTGTCTAACCATTCCTCTGTTGATGGGCATTTACTCTGTCTCCATCCTTTTGCTATGTCTCTTGTGAGCATATTGAAGAATCCTGTTTTTTATCCATTCTGCTGTGTCTCTCGGCTGGTACATTTAATTGATTTACATTGAATGTAATCATCAATAGGTATGAATTGA